CTCTTATTATAACACTTAAAAAACGTTATATAAGTGCTTTATATATTCCTTCTTAGTTTTAGAGTAAATTAGTATGTTATTAAGATATATAATAACTAATTTTCCTAAGAAGGGACGTAAGACTTTGTTTATTAATATCTAGAAAGTTATAAGAGTGTTATAGAGGCTAAAAGGCATAATAAGAAACTTATACTTTCCCTATTAAGTATTAAACATAGTCTTTGTAATAGAATCTAGATCCATTAATAGTTACTAAAAGCTAGAAACAAGATTAAGCTTTATAAACTAAGCTACTCTAGTAAGTGCATCTAAGTAATCTTATATAAGAGGTAGGGGGTATCTATTCTTTTTCGTAAGCTTATTTAGAGCATAGAAATCGATATATATTCTTTACTTATTACTAGGTTTTAGTATAAAGAGAATAGGACTTCCTTATAGCAAAGAGGATTCCTAGATAAGACCTCGTTATAATAGCATATCTATTTACTTTTGCTATTCTTATAACTGCATTAGATTTAATAAATAGGCCTATATGTTCGTCGGCTTCGCGTCTCTAGTGTTAATTAAATAGATAATATCTCTTTTCTTTAGTAGTCTAGTTAGTAATTCCTCTTTAAATATAGATAGATATTGTTATAGGACTATAATAAAGATAGGGAGCGTTATAATAGCAGGTTTGCTATCTAGCTCTAGACTAGAAAAAGCACGTAGTGCTATAAGTAGTAAGGGGGCTCTTCTTATACTAAGTTGTCTATTTATTATAGGGTTAGTAAGTGCATATAGCAGTTCTCGTTTATCCTCTACCTTTATATCTTATAACGTAAAGATCCTAGAGTAAGATTTAAGAACGTAAGTTATAAGAGTATCTTTATATAACACTTATACTATGCTAACCTACTAATTAATTATAGGGTTATGTCTTATAAACTAGGATAGTCTTAAGATAATATCGTATCCTTTAAAGTCTATAAGTCGCGCTTTAAGAGTTCCTAACTAGTCTTCTAAGGTATAGAGTAACTTAAGTCCTTCCTTTATTATAATAGTTTACCTATTTAGTAGAACGATTAACTTTGTTATAATAGGAATAATAGAATTCTTCTAAAAGGTTCTAGCTTTTAAAGCCGATATGTAAATACTAGATGCTATAGTATTAAGTATAAAGATAATCTTATAAACATTATTACGAGGTCTAATAGTTCTATATAGCGTAAGAAGACCGCTATCTAAAGTAGCAAAGTATTTAGTCTCCTCTTTTAGCGAAGATCTAGTAGTTACGTTTATATCTATACTTATAACTAGGTTCTCTTCTTCGTTAAAGGCCTTATAAGGTAAGGAAGTTACTTTAGTTATAACCTTACCTACTTATTTTTTAAACGGCATTCTCTAGCATAGTAGCTAGGCTTATTATAAGAATAGTAAGTAACTTTTAACTTATCCTATTTGCCCTTTCCTCTACTACTACCCTTACCTTTCTTCTTCTTACCTATTATATTAAGGGATTCGATAGTTACATTTAGGTTCTTACTTTAGTTCTTCCTCCTATAATAGAAATAAACCTTATTAAGAGTAATAGCCCTATTAATATAATTATCTTTTAAGGTATTTAAGGGTAAATAAAGCTATATGTCTAAAGCATCTCTTATATCTTCTTAAAGGCTATCCCTATACCTTCTAAGAAAAGTTTTAGGAGATAGGATAAAGATAAGTTTACGTAAAAGGGTTTATAAGTCCCTTATAAAAGCCCTAGCTAAACTAGTCTATCTTATATGCTTAAATCGTCTCTTTTTGATTTCTATCTAATTAAGATCTATATAATAGTACTAGATCTTTAATAATTAGGCTATAAAAGAATTAACTATAAGGTGTTCTTACTAGCAATTAAATAAGTCCCCTTTTAGATAAGAAGAAGTAAGGCGGTTCTTTTTATTGTCCTATAATAGTCTATAAAAGATAAAGTCCTCTTATAAACCTATCTAGTTTTTAAGTTAGGTAATCTAATTATCTACTTCTTTATTCTTTATCTTTTCCTTAAAGATAGGAGGTTTCTAAATAGGTACTTTTAGATAATACTTATACTCTCTAGTAGTAATTATAAAGCTAGAAGTAGGAAAAGTATCTTATTACATTAGCTCTAGCTATAGAGGAGGTAGAGGCGCCTATTATAGGGGCTATTATAGACTAGGTTAGTTCCTTGCCTAGTATTCTATATATTCGGCCTCTTAGTTTAGGTAGTTCTACTCTATATAGTAGAGGATCTTAAGTAGTTCTTTATAGGTTATCGATAAAGGGTCTTAAGGTTCTTAACTAACTTATTATAGCCTAGTTATAGGTCCTCTAACTAGTTAATAGCTAGTTATAGACCTCTCTAGCTAAGCATAGCTAGTTATAGGGTTATAGTAAAGATCGGGTTCTATTAGAATGTAAGAGAGTTATATAAGTAGGGGATATAAAGAAGTTTTAAAGAGGCTAAAGTACTATATTAGTAGTACTATACTATCTAGTCCTCTTATAAGAAGGGATATCCTTCTTATATTAATTAGAGTTCCTCTAGCTAGAAAGACTACTTAAATCTATCTTATAACTCCTTATAGACGTATGTTTGTCTTTAGTAGAATAGAAAGCTATAAGCTTAGCTTAAAGATAAATGCCTTACTACTCTTATCCTTAAAGTTATAAGGGTTATAGCTAATTATAAGAAAAGTATAGTTATAAACTAAGAGAAGCTAATGTTAGCTTACTCTTACAACTATATTATATCCTTGCAACTCTTATAAGTTAACTAATAAGGAGCGTAATAGCGATGCTAGCGTTATGTAGGGTTAAGGTAGTTGTAAGTCTACCTTTTAAGGGCTATAGAGGGCACCCTAGGCCGTTGAGGCCTTCTAGAGCTTAGCTACTAGATGTAATTGCTAAAGGAACTCGATTTTTTAGACTACTGGCGCACGGCACGATTATATACTAAATCCGCCAAGCAATGGCTTACTCCGGCTTCGCAATAATAGTACTCCTAAGGGAAAGCGTGTAATCAGAAATGAAAGCAATAATAGGTATTTCTCATATCTCTTGATGATACTTGTGACTATTGGAAGCTACAACGTTGGTATTTTTGAAGCGCCCAAAGTCAAGGTTATCAAAGGATTGGTGTTGTGCCAGCCTAGGAGCATTGGGTAACCGACTTATCAAATCAGACAACTGCATCCAACAAACACATCTCCAGGTCTGAGGATCGAGAACGGCGAGATATTTCTTGAGGTACTAGTATAGTACTTGCAGAAAGTTTTCGGCTCCTTGAATTTTACCTTAATCAGCGACGCCACTGATTGATTGCACTGTCTCTTTGGCTTCGGTGAGTATGGAGGTCCGACCTTGAACGCAGGCAGCGGCGCGCTCTTGTGAGTCACCAGACAATTGCATGTATCCTTGAGCGTACTAGCGCTCATCTCTAGTAGGGGTGAAGTGTTGCGGTTTGCGGTCAGATAGTACGCGCAGAAGTCAAAAGGATCCTTCATCATAATCCAGAGGAATGCAGTGTGGAGCTTGAGGTTCTCACATGTCAAGGATCGTGCTGAAAGAGTTACTTTCGTATCTTCCAGATTGGGGATACATGTTGTGGGCGATGTGCGTAGGTCGATTGTAATCGTAGAGTTTTCAGTGACTGTCGTGGTGCCTAGGCTGACAATAGTAGTAGTTGTAGGTAGAATAGTGCGGTTGCCAGTGCTAGATTGGTGTTAGAGATTGCAATGCCGATGGTCAACGCAGACACTTACACATATACAGTGGTAGAGATGGTGGTTGTCGGAATAGAGTACACATCTGGGGGTCCATAACCCAGAACGGTTGTTGGAACAAGTGTGGTGGAAGACGAAGACACTGATGAGGAGTTGCTGAAGGTTGAATCTTTGCTCGAAGAGACGTCGGGCCTTTCGACCACTGGAAACCTTTTAGACAGTGATGGCCTCGGTGGGGTGCTGATATTCGTGGGCGAAGATTGTGCGTAGCAGGAACATGCGCTGGATAATTGTGACGCAGGCCATACTGAGATGGATCTTGGAAAGCTCCGCTTACTTCTCAGAATATCTTGGCAAAGATGACTGGCAATAGAGGGATAGTTTGATAGTGACTTCAAAGCAGTGCCCGTGCTGCAGACGGATATCTTGCTGGTAGAAGTCGACTTAGACGAAGTCTTGGTACTTGAAGTCGTCAAGAAGGCCTTCGATGATGCAGACTTTGATGCATTTCGGGAGCTTGTTGATGTCTTGGAGCTACTAGACTTCGATGATGACGCTGTCCTTGACAAGGTCGAAGCTTTGGAAGACGAGCTGATGATCTTTGAGGACGATTTCGAGCTCAAACTCTTCGATGAAGAAGCTGACGCGGAGTGTGTCTGAGAGGAAGATCGCGCACTTGAGGTCCTCGCTGCGGGGGTGGCCGTGGATGAGAACGAGATGGCACCTGACAAAGTTTCTGAGCTGCTAGAAGACGAGGAAGAACTTCTCGTTGATGTCGATAGAGTTGTCGGCGAGGAGATCGGCAAGACCGGACAACGAGATGCGGAGTATGTCCCAGTAAGTGTTGTGGTGCTCGCCACGGTCTCTGTAGTCCCATAAACTGTCGAAGTTACGGTTGCTAAATATGTTGTTTGACCTGGAACAAGGCTGGTAGTCGTTATTGGGTCCTGTGATGCTGTGACTGACGTGGGACCAAAGTATAGAGCGTATGTAGCCGGGCTAGGGAACCACGTCGGATCATTAGGTCGATTGCTCAAGGATAGAATCATGGGTCCTGTACCGATCTGAGTGTTGGCAATTGGGCAAAAAATGCTTGCGAACGTGGTGTCAGCATCAGTTCGGTAGCCTGTCGATGTAACATGACCGCCATTGTCGTCATAATAATCTGTGTAGGTGATGTACGAATAGGTCTGAGCAGAACAGGTCGCGGTCTTGACAATGTTGGCGGTGTTTGTGTACTGGACCTGCAAAACAGTACCCATATTCATCATGGTAGCGGAGAATCCGAAGGAATTCGTATCGGACGCATCAACAGTAAAGGCTGAAGTAAAGGGGCCGGTGGTGTTGGGATTTGCTACAAGCACGAGTCCATCACCCAGTTGTGGTGAAGAGAGAGTAGCGCCCATGTTCGCAAGTCGTATCTAATCAAAGATGGCGCGAGAATGGAAAGATGGCACCCGACGAGATACGACCGATCCTTTATGCTTCTTGAATGTTATCGTCCGGAGCGAGATCGAGCATCGAGATGGTCCCGAGACCTGATCAGTGCGACAACGTCCACCCCTTGTCCCTCGAATTGAAACTTAGTGTCCTTCAGACTCCAGGGATCCATTCTCTGTTCTGGTCCAGAGTCGTGGAGCGCGCGCGCGTTATTGAGCGAGACAGCCGTTTTCCAGCTGCCGTTGGAGAATTAGACATGCCAAGGAGTTGACCTGGCGGCAAGATCTGAATATGCAACAAATGACAGGGACTATAGTCTTAGAATTCATGCGAAAGATTATGGGCTGGCCGATCTGATTGATTTGTATGATCAGATGGTGTGCTTGAACATCACACACAGATGCAGGGGAGGAAAAGAGCAGCAAGCACGGCCGATCTCAGGATCTCGGCCGTCGGGTTCTGGAAACAACGGCGATACTTCAAATTTGAGTCAACGTTCCGGCTTCAGGCGGTCATCCCGACCGGTGGTGTTGATTGACTATTTTCCTATACGGGCAAGAATGTAATATCGCTTTGTTTTCCTTGAACCTCGTGTTTTGGTACTTGTAGACCACTTCAGGATTCGACCACAGGCCAGGTGCTACCTTATGATTTACGTGGTACTGGCCGACATGTGAATGTGCGCACTATTCCGAATTCTCATGAATGTCACACAGGCAGGAGGGCGAATTGGTAACTCATATCCAAAGACATTTGTGCACCACGCATCATGTCTCGGGTCTTCCCACGAATTGCGAGCGGAAATTCTTTCTGCAGTCGGGTGACGCATTGAACAATACGCTGGAAATTTTCTGATGTTTTGGAGTACAGTATATGATGATAGACTGCCTCATGCGAGGAAGTTGAGTCTCCCGACTCCAAGGCAAGCAAATTTGCACTGGACGGTGTCGCCAAGAGATGTCATCAGGATACCTTCGCACCACTTACCAAAACGCCGACGAGAGAGGACTGTCAGGTGCTTCAGGAGACCGCATCGAGCGGCCTGTATTACCGAAAGACATTTTGGCTGAGATGCACTGGATTTTAGCTGAGCTTCACTAGTCAGCTTGCGAGATCTCTGTGTCTTCCCAACTCTTGCACTCATTTGCGCAGCACCATTTTGGGTGGTTTTCATTCTCACCAGCTGCAAAAAATGTTTCCAAAGACCGAAGAATCGGACGCTGTTGCTGTCAGTCTGGATGTCTCGACCCCACCACTATTGATGGACAGAGGTTTGAGAGCTTGGCTCCAGGATTTGGGTAGTTGGATCCTCTTCATGAACACATGGTGGTTGCTACGAATTCACGAACCCGAAAAGTTGTGAGTTTCAGAATCGTGCTACAGGTCGATCAGGTCGATGATGGCGACGCATCGCATGGCCGCCGTCGAAGCCTGAGATATTGATTATGCGAGACTGTCGAGACTTCGCAACGTGGCAAGTATCCTCGATCCGTATATCCAGAGTCGGTCACTTTCGTCTAGTTTGTCGAGTCATGTAGATAGTTGAGGTTTCTAGAATGATTCCTCGGGACCGGAGAGCCAGGCCACTGTCCCTTTTGGTCCACTGTCGAGCAATCTTTCCGAGTCACATAGACAGTGTGAGTAGAGCTTTTAATTATTTAGATGGAGATACTAGTCGTCAAATGATAGACAGAGTCATGTTGGCCTATCCTGACAAAACCAGAAGCTCGATAAGCTTACAAGCCACAAGCCAACTACAACGACGATTCAACCATTCTTCGAACAGATCCTTGCATAACTATCGATCATGAACCATGCATGTTCGTCGAAAAATGTGGGCACAGCAGCACAAGTGAGCATTGCTGACGCAGAATCACGCGCGCTAGGGGGTGTTAAGCATGGGGAGGAGTTGACTCAACCTCTCGCAATCAATCAATGAAATCACGTGCCGTCACTCATTTGACTCAACTCTCCTGGCTCAATACCACTTTGCGAGCTTTATAGGAGATTGCCAAAGGGCTCGAGCTCGCTTGTACAATATATGCTAAACAATGTCGATCATGTTCTGTCCGAAAAGTTTAAATCTCCAGAGCGAGTTCAAAAGTGGGGGAACTCCACAGTTCGCACGGCTTTGCTCGCAAAAGTAACCCTATCGAGGATAGTCAAGGTGAGCCCAGCAGACAATGGGCCTTCCAGGAATATGTATATAAAACACAGTTCACTCAAGCTTGTCTCCGCGAAGCCCTTTTCATCCGTCTCTTGACATTGCTTTCCAAGAATTCACATCCACGGTTCCTTACACACTATCATGCAAGCCTATCGCTTTGAAAAAGGCGATGGAGTCGTTCAACGTCGAACGCTTCCTATCCCCGAGCCTGCTGCTGATGAGGTTCTTATCACTGTAACGGCCGCTGGTCTCTGTCATTCAGATCTGCATATCTTGCACGGTGGCCTAGAAAACGTCGGAGCCTTCTCTGTCCGCCCGCCTCTCACGCTAGGCCATGAGGTAGCAGGAATTATCAACACCGTTGGCCCAGGAGTAACCTCATTCAAGGCCGGAGATAGGGTGTCGGTAGCCCAGATTGGATTCCCAGTAGAGGAAACATCCTGGGGTACTGCCGTTGGCCTCGGCTGCGATGGAGGCCTTGCAGAATATGTTATTGCACATGTTCGTTCAGTGGTTCATGTTCCTGACAACGTCCCACTCCATCTGGCGGCTGTCGCTACTGATGCAGTCAGCACTGCGTATCATGCCGTGGTCACTGAGGCTGAAGCCGGACCTGGAAAAAACATAGCCATTGTCGGTTTGGGAGGTCTCGGTCTCAATGGCGTTGTATCTGCTTCACTACAAGGCGCCAACGTCTACGGCTTTGACATTGACACGAAACGATTCGAGGCTGCCAAAAAGTCTGGTGCCATCGCTTGTCACCAAAGCTTGGATGAAGTGGAAGACGGCTTCTTTGACGCCATCGTCGATTTTGCTGGTGTGGGCAAGACTACCGCACTTGCCATCAAGCGTGTCAAAGTTTGCGGAGTGGTGGTTCTGATTGGTCTTGGAGTGAATGAAGCAACTTTGCCTACTTCTCTTCTGACTATGAAATCGATTCACCTCAGGGGATCCATGGGTGCGAGCCTCCAGGAGTATCGGAGGATCTTGGAGCATATCGAGGCCGGAGAAATTGTCCCTGTCACTGAAGAGATCCAGTTTGACGACGTTAGCGGCGGTCTGGACCGATTGGCTACTGGCAATGTTTCCGGTCGACTTTGGACAAATCCTTCAGTGATCAGACAAGCCTGAGTCACACGAGTCAAGGCGAGGTTGTGAATCCAGATCTGGCGTATCAAAATACCACTGTATGGTATCAATGAATTTTGTGTATTTGACTGCTGACTCGAAGCCCTCCTTATGTATCCGAGTATCCTGGTCTGTGAGGAAATGCGATGCTGACCAATTCAATTGTTCATACAGCCGAAGTCTGCGCGCACTAGGTCTATCGACTCATGCGTCCTCTCTTTCTCAAAGCCAATTGCAATTCGTCGATCCATGATACCATGCGCTTTGCATGATACCAACCTCAAAATAGTTTGACCTGTACTGATGTTGGCCAGACTATCGCATGAACGGCTTTGATGTTCTGTAGAGCTTAGAGCAGAGGTTGCTTGACGGCTTGCAAAAGAGAGAAAGACGTGAGCAGGAGCGCGGGATCCGAAGGTGGACTGGAGAACGCTTGTGTTCCGAGGGGTAAGGATAAGGTGATACGTCATTTGTGAATTCAGTAAGACGCATCGCGAATTGCAATGCCTCAATTGAGCCATGATACAAGGTGCAATAGCCGTGGCCTTCGACTAAGCTTCTTCGAGACATGAGCTTGCTCGTGTATGAGGAACAAGTATATCGTTGGAGGCTACGGCGACAACTTGACGAGGTGCGACCGCGCTATCAGGGCCGACACGACCGGACGGTCTCGGTTGCGGGCGGCGGCGGAAGGCGCCAACCCCGTCTCCCTTGCAGCCGTTGCGCCCAAGACCAGTCGGCGGTCGCGGATCGCCTGCGCGTAACGCCCAGTTTATCAGAATGAATGATGCTCGAAATGCTGCGTCAGAGGTCACCATTGAGGTACTAATAAAGAACATTAGCTTGATGTCTCTTCGTTTTCAACATCCATCTCCAAACTCTCTACAGTCACCCAATCATTCAATATGTCTTGGACCATCCCACGACTTTATCAATCGCGTCCGGTCGTCGTCCTGGGAGGTGGTGTGTTGGGACGCAGAATCGCTGCGTGTTTTGTGTCTGCAAAACACCACGTCATCATCCGGGATCCTTCAGAAAATTCTCGCAATGATGCGCTCAAGTATATCAAGCAGAACATCCCGACCTATCTCGACAAATCCCGCGGCAAAGAGGGCTCTTACGAGGGTGTCTCGGATTTGAAGACTGCAGTCAAGGATGCATGGCTTGTGGTTGAAGCGGTTCCAGAGATTCTCAGCCTCAAGGAAGACACGTTCCTCGATCTTGAAAAACACGCTCCTAAGGATTGCATCCTCGCAAGCAATAGCTCCTCCTACAAAACCAGCGAGCTTCTTGCAAAAGTGACCGATCAGGCCAAGACGCGTGTTCTCAACACTCATTTCATGATGCCACCAAAGGTATGGGCTCGCATGTTCATGTAGCAGCAGCATGACCCTAACAACTATGCTAGCAAATGATAGTCGAACTCATGACAAGCGGTCATACTGACAAAGAAATTTTCACTTTCATGGAGAGTGAACTTCGCAAGGCTGGTCTTCATCCCTTCACTGCCAACGCGGAATCAACTGGATTCATCTTTAATCGTGAGTTTGCCTAGCTTCTAGCCTGATCAGAGGATCAATAGAGGTTGATATGCATTCTAGGAATTTGGGCCGCTATCAAGCGTGAATGTCTCTCGGTAATCCGAGAAGGTGTTGCTGATCCCAAAACTATTGATGCGATCTGGAAAGAACAATATCAAAGCCCGATAGGACCGTGCGAGTTGATGGACGAAGTGGGTTTGGATACCGTCGAGCACATCGAAGCTCACTACGTCAAGGACCGCGGTTTGCCTGATACCACACTCAAGTGGCTCCGCGAAAACTATGTCGACCCAGGCAAGCTTGGCGATAAGTCTGACAAGGGTGGACTATATGACAAATGAACCTAACGAAACCTGTTATGACCAAATTGAAAAACAGAAAAGTCCATGAGCGAGGTGTGCTTAGTCTAGACACTTGAAGGAGTGTGCCGCTTTGCAAAATATGGTCGACGTGCTCCACATTAATGTAATCGTCTTTTTGGGAGTGTCAAATCTTCTAGCGAATTGTTATTGGCAATCGTTTGGAGAGAATGAGATGCTTTAATATACTATTGATCTAAAACATGGACCGTGGGTTACACTAGAACGATCGTGGGAGGACGTGGCATATGGCTGCCTCCAAAACTTGATCATGAACGCAACAGCAGCAGAACAATAATCAGTTGCGGATGGATGACACACACTAGTTGCAGCTAGTGAAATCGACTCCTCTCAAGAGCTTGACTACAAAAGGGCCTTCAGTGCAGCCACAAGCACATCGTCTAGTGCAATTGAAGTGTCAAGGGAAGCACTGCTTAGCAGCACGTAATGGGTGGTGCATTGACCAAGTTTGGACACAGGCTTTCCATCCAAGCGGTCCAAGACCCAGGCTAGAGCAGATGCGCTTCCAGTGATGGCTTCAGTAAGATGTTCACCAATAAGGTCGATGTGGTACTCGATGGTGACATCGTTGGTGGCGCAGAACTGGTTCACAAGCTTAGTGGTGTCGGCGACCGGGCTGACCTCGTCGCCCGCAGCTTTGTAGATGAACATTGGTGCTTGCGGGATTCCGTGAACACCCATAACGCCACTTTTGGCTAAGAGGCTCTGGAATATGGGATTTTTCGTAAATGCACGCCCACTTGTGAAGTAGGAAAAGAGATTTTTGAAACCACCAAGCGAGCTAGCATTGGCCAAGGATGAGCCGCCAATGGTGAAGAACTCGGCTGCTTTGGAAGGTACGAGGTTTGAACGAAGGGTTGCGTTGAAGTCAGGCGATGCTCTTGAGAGACCTGTGAGTCCAGAAAAAGCAAGCCCCGAAGACTGTCCTCCGTTGATGGTGAGCAGAACGTTGGTAACATTGGGTATCAGGCCACCGAGCGCATAGCCCTGGAACTCGAGTTCAGGAGCGTATTGTGGTTGGAGCTCGGCAGCCCATTCTGATGCAAGGGAGCCTCCCGAATAGCCCCAAGCAGCATACTTCACGCTTGTACTAAGTCCAGTCACATCTGCAGTGTTGAAGGCAGCACGCACACTGTCCAGAGTAGCTTGTCCTGCAATAATTCCTTCAGTAAAGTGGCCGTTCAGACCCTCATAGTCAGGCGACACGACATATACACCCTTATCCAAGGCGGCGATGATCTATTGAGTCTTTCTTAGCGCTCAGGGGCTTTCTGACCACTCAGATCCTCGTGCTACTTACGAAAATGATGTCGGGGACCTCGGTAACGTTTGTTCCCGATTGGAAAGCATACGACGGGACACTGTCTGGGTCTGTCGTATCATATGCGGTCTGGTATGCAAGGAGCTTATTGGGGTCCGCGTTCTCAGGCACCAACACAGAAGTGACTGCCGCAACTGCATTGTTGAGGTTGTCCGTGGTGCGGTACAGGATCTGATAGAGAGCTTTGAGAGATGCCAAACTCTGCCCGCCTGGAACGAGACCGGAAAGATTCGAGGACACTTGACGCATACGTATGACTGCTCCAGGGGCGTATTGAGAGATGTTGGCAGGCTGGGTATAGAATGGATCCTGAGATGGAAGAGTGACGCCAACCACAGCGGCAATGGTAGCAGCCAGGACGAGGCTAATCGATGTTACGCGCATATTGAGTGTTGAAGGTTTGCAAAGACCGGGAAAGCGATCACCTGAACGAACAAGAAGTGTTACTTCGGTCATGAGTAGTCTCAGGAAGATGGCTTTATATAATTATGTGAACCGACATCTTGTTGATTTCAAGCCGAATTGCACCTCGGATGGTCCCTTCAAGAGCACAAGGTATCTCAAAGATCTAACGGGGACTGGCAGGCTTAGTGTTCGCGGTCGTAAAGACACTATTGGCCGAGTGATTGTACGAAAAGTCAAATAGTTGCACGGGAGTCACGAGACATCATGGGGCAATACGGGATGAACTGTTGATCGCAAAGTGTCGAATCTCAAGCTTGAAACCTCCAGTCCAGCATTTGGAGCTGCTTACATGTCTCAGAAGTTATCTGCGCCAGGAAGACTGGCTGCGAATGGAGCAAGCCTACATCGATCCTAGGATACCGCTACCTCAATGATACCGCAAGACTTGTTGACAGAACGCTTCTCGCCCACGCAGCAGATCATGGCCACAGATGCAAGTTGAAACGCATCGCCGTCCTTATGACGTTCTTTGGTCGTACGCTTTCACCATTTTCGAAGAAAGGTTCCGCAATTGAATCTAATTCCTAGTGAGTGAACGACAAGATTAAAACGAGTGCACTGCCTATGCCCTACTTGGCACTCGACAGAATGTTGAGCCTCATGTTCATTGTGTCCGGTAGAAACCCTTCGAGACACAAACGTTTATTATTATTAGGCCTGATTCAGCAAAGCGCCATCGCAGAAAATGACCCCAAAGTGCAGTCGCCCAGATTGACCCCAGACCCCTCGGTCGAACGTGAGGGGTCTGGCATTATCACAACCCCTATTCCTATCCAAACATGCGCCGTGACAACTTCGATCATTCTGAGGGCTAAGCTGTGTAGTGGCATCGACCTTAATGGCTAGACGGAGCCCCGGACTGCACGTAGGACCTCAGATTCTCTCACGGAGATAGGTATGCTTATGATCAGCAATACGAGCGCACGGCTACAAGCCTACAGTGAACGTCCCGCCACGCGGGGTAACATTTTGCCAGCCCTCAATTCTGTGACAGAGTGACAGAGTGAGGCCTTGATTCTATTGATCGCGCGCCGCATCTCTTTTCGCTGCATCATCGAAACATCGACTTTTCGATGACGCCTAGGAGCCAAACAGTAGTTTCCCGTTTCCGATTGAGCACAAGCCCTTATCCAACTGGCAGCTAGGTGCTGATGTCTGAGACATCCATTGTCCCGAGTCGACAAGCCATATAGGCGCTTTCAAAATTCGCGAAAGCCAACAAGAATACTTTCACTTACATTCGACAGTTGACTTCTTGACTCTGCGTACGGCTTTCTCATGGTTACGAAGATTCCGCCCGAGAAAAGAACTCGGCGTGCACATACTAAATCCCGAACTGGATGGTAGGCATTGCTCTCTGAGAAATCGAAAAAGAACGTATTCGTAGCTAATGTTTGTAGCTCGATATGTCGACAGAGGAAAGTTAAATGCGACGAATTCCGTCCGGCATGGTGAGTCAATGCCTCAGCTGCAACCAGGGTCCAATCCTGACTGAGCACATAGTCTCAATTGCATGAAACATCGAACCCAATGCACGTATCCCGACTCTACAACTGTTTCTTTGCTGGATACGTCGTGTACTGCGGACCAAGCTTTGGGATACCTATTCGAAACAAACGCTGTTCCTGACATAGACTGGACCACTCTCGAGCCTTTGAAAACACCACATCATGATCGCTTCCTGATCTTCCAAATTACCCGAATCGCAGAGGAAATGGGCAAACATGATAAACATGCATTCTTCGGTGCGAAAATGCTCCCAGAGTAAGAAGTCCTGGTTAAACCTCGATTGCCGGCAGAGTCTGATATTCCATCAGATTTGTCCGTCTCTCTCAATTCGTCGATTACGCTCGCTGGAGCTTGTGTGCGCTAAGTACATTCTATATTGGGACGCTCACGAAATCAAGGCCGATGCATATTATCACCCAAGAGTACAAGGATTTGGCACTTCGCGGCCTTCGCGATGCTCTGACTGATCTCAAGAGCGAGTACATAGAGGCAATTGTCGCTGCATCATTCTTACTCTCATGGGTTTCGGAGAGCAGGTAGTTCTCCTGTCGTCGGATTTTGGGTGTCTTGCTGACACAAGTATACAGTCAGGAATTTGTGGAACTCACAAAAGGGTTTTCGACCGTGAGATGTTGTGCTTATATGACAATGACCTATGACTGACGCTAGGAACAGGCTCTTGAGATGACGGACGATATGTCTCTCACTTCACGGATCATTCAGTATTGGAGACCCCTGTCGCATATCGAATCGTTTCAAAAAGTCCCATTAGAGCTCGTGATCCAAAGGATTCTGCCTCCACTGGAACTCCTGAGACATCACTTGCGTGGCCATCGTGTATACTCTCAAGCATTAAGAGAGATCATACACTTTGTATCAAATCTGTGCACATACCCGCTACCAGATACAGCCTTTGCTCAGTTGAAAGCCATCTACCCAATCAGGCACTGGTTGCACTGGGCTCCCCATGTGGTCGAGCAGATATGCAGATTGGATCCGTTGGCCGCATTATTCCAAGCTCACTATCACATGGTTATTATCGCGGTGATGCCCTATTTTCCTGCCGCTATTCGTTGCTTCGCCCTGCCCGAACGTTGTCAGCAAGTCGAAGCATTGTGGAAGGTACTGCAGGAGGCAGCCAGGACTTCGAAAGTTTCTTGGGCAAATGAATGCGAACTACTGATGGAAGGCCCTCGATCGATTGCAGGTCAGCATTCTCTTGCCTATTCGGCACGAAGTCCTTCTTTCGGGTTGTAGCTTTCGCTCCCGTTTATCAAACTACGCTTCCATACGACTGGCCTGAGGATTGCGCTGCTCAACTGAGCAGAAGCCGACCCGAATGACGAGCGCGTCCTCTGTCTCGAGACATTCCACATCCCTTGAAATGGTCACGCAAGGGGCTGAGGCAGGCCCAAAACGGTTTCAGATAGATTTCGAGCCCGATAATGTTGCATATAGCTTAGCGCGTTGAAGTTGCCTTCCAAGTTATCACACAGCCCCTCGTCATCATCTTGTGGTGGGCAATGTACCCATCGCTTGTGGAGGTGTCGGCCAAACTCGGGTCTCGCAGTACCCGAAGTACTCGCATGCGGCGGTCTGAGGATCAGGACAACTATGCCGGTTAGCCTTAGTCTATCACACCATCCCTGGCCAAACTTACTGCACAGCTTCACCAAGCATAATATACGCCCACAGCTTCTCAAACACTCTTCCACTGACCGCATCATCCAGTGGCGTCTCCAAGAGCCATTGCCGCATGCGGATGTAGTCCTCCTTCGTCCTTCGTAGCATCGTTTTCCTCGTCACTGCAAACTGCGCGCAACATTGGGAAGCTATCGTATCGGGCAACTCCTCATCTGGGAACAATACAGCCCATGCCTCTCCAATCGCATCCTCGGTCTCTCGGACATGATCGCCATTGCCCCAAACCACTGCATCGTGGTGTTTTGGCCTTAGCTCTGCTGGACACGAGGGGGACCAGCTGAATCGCAACGAGACATATCCTGCTTGTTCGAGTGCGTCGACTTTGAGATCGTGGATCATGTCCATGATATCTCTTTCTTGGTGCCATGCTTGTCGATGTCCGTGGGTGAAGATTGCATATGCGGGGAGGTGGTCGTAGTTGTGGATTAGATAGGTGAGGTAAACCATTGCTTCTCGTCCTTTGTTTGCTGGGACTCTAAGATGCGATGGGGCTTTCGAGTCTGTAACAACGAAGGGAAACGTATCATAGCTGCGATTTGTTAGCTGTCGCATTCACATCCTTTCAACATATCCTCACAATTCTGTCATGTTCTGCATCCAGGACAGGCTTTCTGCAGTCACAGCTCCTGCAATGATAGCAGGACGAGGAAATATCAATGCATCAGGACTTGGCTCGTCTTCGAATGCAAAAGAGCCATAGTCTGTATCTGTGTACCCTATGGACAATAAACCAGGCTGGAGTTTGACAGAGACCATGTCACGCTTCCACGCTTCGATCAGAGCAAGCAGGAAGAAAAGACATAGAAAAGTCGCAATGATCAAGCGGATCTTGGAGCTTGATGACTCGAGTTGTTGCAGCGAAACCATTGTGGAACAGACGTAGGATGGAAATCCTGATTGTGTTGATGAGATGATCCGCCATCCTCGATAGGCCACAGCAGGGTATACACTCCCCCCTGCACTCCTTGCAACTCAATTGACCACAGGCATTCGAGGACAGCTAAGCACCTCCAAGCCTCACCCGTCGACACGCATACCCTCAAACAGGTCGTCTGAGCAAGCCTCAACGATCAAGGCTCTGCGCCATGCCGAGACTTGGTATACGTAGAAAGCTTACGTCGTCAAGCATCTCACGCACGTCTGGCTTGTATTGCCAAGACAAATGCCACGCAGTGTAGCGCCTCATGGCTTTCCAACGGTCAACTCAATCAAAGGTGCCAAGAAGAGTCGTCGAGGACCATTGGTATAGAATCGATTTGTTGCGATTGTGGGGAAGTGGATCCAGGTCTAGAATCGATCTCGATCTGAATCACTGTTATCAGATTTGCGATTTGGTAGCTTTGCGTTACGAGTCAGACTGGACGGATAGGAGGATAGAAAGCATTGTTTGAGAGCAGTTGTAGATAGTTCGAGCGATAGGATCAGACCTCACTGTGTGATTCTACCTGCTTATATCCCAAGCGCTTCGTCTCTCTCCAACTCTTGAATTGTCGAAATCCCTCATAACCAATAACGAAAAGTGCAAGGGCTGCAACAGAGACCATAGCCAACTGTACTGGATCGCTCGCACGTATCTCCAATCCATCAAAGACTCCATTGACACCCACTTCCCACCCAAGATCAAGCATGTTAGTGACACCAAGTACCTCACCATCTGCATCCAGTGCAACAACACGAAAGAAGCGCATATCGCCATCTTTAAGGTCAAGTTCGGTCTCGAATCCTTTCTTCTGTGTCATAGAAACATCTTCCCAGTCTTCGTCCGGACAGGTGCTTTCATTAGCTTGCTGCAGTCTCCACGCTTGCACTTCTGTAGCCCCATTCCAGCTCACAAAGATTGAAGATTGTTTGTCGTTCCCAAATGCAAGTGTAGGTGGCCAGCTGGGCTCGCCTTTCCAGGGAGCTTTGAGCACGCGGTAGGATTGCACGTCTCCCTTGCCCCAAGAAGACATCGTCGAGAAGCGATTATCGCAGAGAACTTCTCCATCGGCAGTAAATTCTGTCCAAACACCTACGTAGCCATAGCCTAGCAAGACTCGCGGATCAGAGTCGGCGTCTGATGGGATGACTTGCATACTTCCCTGACTTGAGGAGATGAACTGGGCTGGGTGGATGTACTCTCGGATGAGTTTTGCGGTGTATGCGCCCGAGACTGAAGATGGACCTGCAGTAGGGTATGTGATCTCGATAAGGACGCCTCTGGAGGGTCGATGTCCAGTACCCTCGTTATCTGCGCCGTTGTCGAAGGCAGAGACCAGCATTTTGGTCACACCATTTACATCCTTCGTCGGATGCAACTTGATCTCTTCAGCCAACAAGACCGGAAACTCGGTCAAGTTGTGGAAACGAGCAAAATGTTGGTAAGCGATATTTGTAGCTTTGCTCTGCCCCTTGCTCAAATCCTCAAATGCGTTCCGCTTGCCGCCCAGGATCCAGATGATTTCGCCAGTCCTGCCATCGATGTAAGTGATAGTATGCGTATACCTCGCAGAGACCAGATAATTGCCAAGTCCGTCTTTCTGGATACTGTTCATGTGATACCAATCCCAGGGACGAGTAGGCTCCCTTCCTTCATCGCGAATACCACGATACGTTTCTTCTAAGCTGTGATGTTCGGATGCACGCCATTGAAAGACTAGTTCGTTCGTCGCTATGTCGATCTCTTGGAAGAGGCAGTCCCAGACCCAAATCACGTCTGTGTCGTCCACAAAGCCGGGTAAAGTGATTGGATAGATCTCGTAGATGGTCATGATACCAGTTCCTTGAGGCGTGATGGTCAGTTCGTGTAAATCTGCGTGTAATCCGTTCAGAGCTGAGATCTTTGCAATCTCCTCGTATCTGAAGTTGTACTGCAGTTTCGTCGTCAGAAAATGCATAAGATCGGGACGAAATGCATAACGAACCATAAAATAGTCGCCCTCACCATGTCCACCTATTCCATCATCCCCAACCCAAAACGTGAGTACCTGCTCGCCTTGATACTCTTGGACTTTAAGGTTGTACCCTTGACCCTCGACATAATGCTCCCAGACCAATTCACCATCATTATCCATAATCGCAACTGCTGGATGCGGTACCTGATATCCTCTCGGTGACAAGAAGATGTAATTATCATCATGACATACTGGCGAATCGTTTGGTCGACGTAGAATTGGCGACATCAAGTCGGAGGATTGAAAGGTTTTGTATGGAAAAGATCCAAATTCGTGCTCAAAGGCTTGTGTGTTCTTGGTATCGAAGTTCGTGCCGACATCTTCAGCAGCTGTTTGGTCGAAGTATGTCAAGGTTAGAAGTCCAGTGAGAAGCGCTAGTCTAACCATGTTCGCAAAAGGGGAGCTGGCCGTCGCAAAGATCTGCAGCTTAGTATACGAGTATCAAGAGAATTGTGTCTGGCGAATGGATGCAACTTCAACTTCCGAAAAGCGCATCGAAACGAACGAAAGCAACAAACCTGACGAAGACCAGGTTGGAGCAGATATCTACCATAGCAGAGCACCAGACGTCGTGTTGTATGACAGGACATTGCGACCCACAACCGCGTGGCAAGAGTTCCGAGTACCGTTCGGACAAGCTATCGTGGTCGCCGAATGACCGGCAGAGACACCGAAGTCCTCCAAGGATTATCGTCATACTCGTTCGCACTCACCTACCGGAGTGATCGATCGCTGGACATTGACTCGTCAATGACCGAGCATCTTGGCGTCTCTCGATGTCGTGTCTGTCAGATTGCAAGAATTGCAGGAGTATGAGACTCACAACCTGACTCGAGCAAACACAACCACGCAACAAAGAGCATTACGAAAAGGAGGCTCAGCCAACCCATCGAAATTGCTACTTGCGATGCCGCATCAGTCATCGAAAACCTTCGACTTGGCACCGCCTAATGCTTGTTCTTCTTGAGTCGTCATCCTTGCAGTCAATCTCCCGAGAGACAAAGCCGTAGATACGTGCGGAAGAAGGATTTTCGTACGCCAAGCCAGGTGCGTCGTGTACATTGTGTAAATTGCGGGGTAAATATAGGTTAATGCTAGGACCGCGTTGAACTTTAGATGATTATCATCGGACAAGACCGAGGAGTAAGTCGATTGAAGTCGGCTGTTCCTTCCCAAGGAGAAGACAGTATCCATGAAGAATATCAGATTGGGTGTATGTGTCATGACTTTTGGGAAATTTCGGTCGCTCAGCGTTTGAAGATTGAGCGTGCCCGGGTGAACGTGTGATCGTAAATGATTGATCTCTGACCATATGTTCTTGACTCATCATCCCAAATGAGCTTTGCCTACTCATTCAGTATTGCACAGTGATCGAGGTATGAAATACTTGCTTGACTCAACTCATGATGAAGGCGTGTTCGACCTCAACAAGGTTGTGTTATCAGATGTAGGACCGACCAGGGTGATCTGACCAGCGTGAAGTCCCAAGCGCATCACTCTGATTCGCCCGTTCGCTAAATCGGTTTTTGGCGGCGTCCTGACAGTTTTCCCAGCCCTAACTTCGCTCTTAATTTGTGGACCACGCGTTCCTGACTTTACCAGCAAGGGTAAGCGGTATCGGTTGAGAAAAGGATGGCGCAAGAGGATTTCGGGGCGGACGAGGGAATGATTTGAAGGAAGAAACGGCGGGGGGTCTGGACGTAAAACAAAGAAAGTGTAGAGAGTGGTGAGGAAGCATTGTGCAGCAAGAAAGCGAAGCAACGCCAATGCTAAGAACAAGCATCTCGTATTTCGTCGCTCTGATCCGCAACTGATAATCAGATCCGACAAGGTACTGTTGCTAATGCTCACAAAGTAGACCTTGTGTAGAATCAGTCTTTCGCTGGCCCCACACACCTTCTCCACCACCACTATTGCTGCGAGGAGGCGCAGCAATAGCGACGTCAAGACAGTGCCTTGTTAGACGAACCTTCGCTGTCTCTATCTCTTTGCAGTTCGAGACGCGACGCAATTTCCTATCGCGGTATGTTACTTAGTTGGTTGATGCGCCACCATTCCGTCAGACCGCAAAAGGTTGTTCTTGTAAGAGGAGCCGAGAGCCAAACGGGCCGGCGCCGGTGCTGTGTACGTACGCTTCCCCAAAGGTTCTTAAACGCATGAGAACGAAAGCGATCTTGTACGCACGTAGGTTTTGAGTAGTCAGGGAGAAAAAGTCGAGGGCTGTTTGTCGGGCTGACGATCATCTCGGTCAATCTTGCGGATTCGAGAAATCGATTTCCCGCGCGTGGCAGCCGGTTGTAAAACGCTGCCCTAAGCTATACTTGATTGATCCCCTTGCCATGCCGTACAAAATGCGTTTGTCTTCCCTTTCGTTCCCGGACACGAGGCATCCGTAATCGGTTCGGAGAAATTCAGAAGCTGGCTGACAGATGCATAAGACGGAACAAAGCTCTTGTATAATGACCGAGCCAGAAGCAACACATGACAACACTTCACCATGCGACCAAAAGCGCGAAGCAGTGACAGCAGCTCGCCGCCATGGAAATATCGAAACCATTCGCAAACAACCCGGCTGGTCAGGCTTTCCTTCTTGTATACCCATCTCTATGCGAACAACCAAGAGCGGCAAAGTAACTGAGTTCGGAAACACCAAACTTCGCATCATCGAACGCATCGCTGTCTCTACAGAATTCGACAAGGCATTGGACTTTCTCAAAGGCTTGACGGACGGAGGTGAAAGATTGCTCAGCCTGAAAGATCTGGAGCAATGTGCCGCGAAGTTCGACACGGGCAAGAGAGGGAGACAGCAGTCGAGGGATCGAGGTGGATCGAGTTCTGCACCAACGAGCACTGTGGTCAGCCAGGCGGATGAAAGCGAACCAAGCTACCAATCCATGGCACAGCCTCTGGACTCCTGGAATGGATTCACTCTAGACGCAAGCCCAATGCCTTTGCAAACTGGATCTTTGACAGCACCACTCAAGCGTCCAAGTCCAGAGGCCTTCCAAAACATGTCCGTGTCGCCAGTGGAGACCAAACGACCACGCATGGATACCCTCTTCGACACCCAGCAGGCAGACTTTCCATTCCATATGTCGGAGCTGGAGTCATATAACACAACAAACCTAACCGTTCCCCAAAGCTACCACCAGCAGAGTAGCCCAAACATGCGAGCATCACCAGGCAATACAATCCCGCGCTCGCCATCTCAAGACCCCGCAAGAGCATTGTTGAGCATACATCCACACGCCGGAAGCATCTTCTCGAACCTCAACACAGCATTTGACGACTTGCTGGCTCGGATCGAAGACCATCAGCAGATTGTCAAAACTGCGCTTGACCAATACCGTATGGCCACGAACGGATTGAGTGTGGCGTCTGGGACTTCGAACAACAACGGTGACCGTGATTTAGAAGCGGCACTGAGGACAGCACAGAGGAAGGAGGTCCGCGCTCGTCATGATTTGGAACAAGCGAGATCAGCAAGAGACGTGATTGACATTGAGTATGGCCATATCGGTACATCGCTATCCCGGGCGCTGGTGGACACTGTGCGAGCCGAGTATTCGCGCGCAGGAGTAGCCATGACACAAGCTCAAGCAGATGTCGAGGCCGCCAGGCAAAGGTTGAACAATGCGAACAACCGAGAGCAGGTCCTGAAACGTACGAAAGATGTCGCAGAGGTTGGAATCGATCAGCTACAGCGACAGACCAGGTTTTGGTTGAAAAGATTAGCAGAGGCAGGCGTCAAGTTGACGGATCAATTGGGCAATCTGCAAGGTAATGACACGGCGCAGCGGCCGCCACAAATGTAATGATAATGTAGTCTCCGAAATCTGCCGGAGTGTAGAGATATTCATGTATGATAATGATTGATTGCTAGAGTCACGAACGAGCCCAGTCGGCAGGAACCGACAGAGGAGTCTGAATCGACTACTTCTTCAATAGCTGAATATTCTTCCTCACCTCGTCAGCGTTGTCAAATACCAACCACATCTTGCTGTCTAATCTTTTGAAAGCTGTCTCGAAGCGCTTGTCTGAATTTCTGTCAGGGTTCAATGCACCTTGTACCTCGTTCCCATCTGGAACACGACGGATGTAGATGGCTTTGATCCAGCCGGGATGGCGTCTTGCAATCTCGCCGTAAGACTCAGGGTCTTTTTGTGTGCTGTCGCCGATACAGATGAACTGGCGTTGCGGGAACCAAGTGTGCATCTTCTCTAGTCTGTCAACTTTATATTCCTGCACGTTGACTGAGAGACTGCTGATCAAACCGCCAAGGTTCTGCCAGGATGCGTCACGGAGAATCATTGTGCCATCGGGGAAGTACTTCTGGCGGAATTCACGCAGGAACGGATACAGATTGTAAGGGGATCCCGAGAGATAGAAGAAGATGGGGTCGTTGAATAGCTTCACCATCTCATTGTAGAGTTCAGGCATGCCAGAGACTGGGGTGGGCGCATCAATGAAGGTTGACTTGAGCACGGCAATTGGGGAAAGTGTGTCAGTGATCTTGATGGTGTCGTCGATATCCGAGATGACTCCCCAGCCTTTGGGCTCAGCAACAACAGTATGACCCGGCGTCACGAAGCAAGGCGTTGGATCTGAGTTCGCCGTCGTGGTGAGTTGTGTTCCGGCTGGAGCGTCAAAGTGTAGACGGAGCAGGTCAGATGAGATACCCGACGAACTCGAGGGCCCCAGTGTCTGTGTCTCAGTGTCGGCGATCTTGACGCGAATTGTGTGACGAGGGAGGATGGGATTCAGAAAAGGTTCAAGGCGCTTCTCGATGAGTGTAACGTCGAGCTTGTCCTTGATTTCATCCATACACTCTTCTTCAGTTGCTGCCTCTCTTGCAAGTCCAAGCAAACGAGCAAGGTGGGCGATGACGTGGGAGGGTTCGCGACAGGTCTCACGGGAGAAGTATGCCGCTACATACTCGACTTCCCAGTACGGTGGGGGTAGAGGTTCGTTGGGAGCGGCGATGATTTTTGGGTCTGCCTGGTGCTTGTTGACCTTCGCATCCTGGCTCCTAGAAGCAGTTAGAGGGGTAGCGCAGACAGCTTGAAAGAAGAGCGCACAGCTGGACGCGATATGCAGTGTTGTCAAAGATCCAGACGCTATGCTGCGACGGATCCACAGGTCTTGGTTTGGACCAGGGAAATGTCAGAAGTAAGCGACCAGTGAGGTCGGGCATAGAGTTGAGAAGCTCTTTGGGCACGTCGGGAGAGAATGGCGCATCCTTGCGAAGTTGGAGACCATCGACTACGGTGACAAGGGCATCCTCGGCAGTCTGCAGCGCAGTGTGCAGATGCGAATCGAGAGAGCTCATGATGGTTGTGGATCGAGATGTGAATTTCGAGATGTCAAGGCAGGCAGAAGAGAAAGATACAGTGTCTAGGAAAGAAGGAAGAAACAGGCAACGACAAGCCAAGAGCATGTTGAGCGCTCATGGGGCAGGTGCGTGATCAGTGTCGCAGCTACCATGTGGCTGGAGACGACTCATGTTGATACTGTACCGGGAATAGTGTGCATGACAGTAGAGCTGAAGCTGCGAGCTACGGTTTGACACTCGTAATGGGGTCAAAATGCTCGGCAAACGATTGTGCAGGAGGTGGCCAAGAGCTTGGTCTTACGCTTCTTGAAGGTCACCTACAAGGAGAGGCGCACCGAAACAGTACAGATCAGGTCAACGTAGGCTGTCAGAGGTGGCTGGTGACATGAGAGAAGAGGAAGCAGCAGAGCTTTGAGAAATCCGGGTTGTGTCATGTTTGAGGAAGGAGCGGCCCCACAAGTTCAGGGAAAGCCAAGCAAAGCGGGATGGCCCATCAAGCAAGCGCGACCGGCGGGCAAGCAGCGACCTTTTGCTCTTTCCGTCTGGCTGAGTTGCTCTTGCTCTTTCCAACTTTCTTGATCTGACGTTACTGCTACGGCCAACAATTGTTCGCTCGAGGTTCTGGACCGTCAACTGGCACTTCGTCCGCCCAACTCAACCAAAACTATTTACGTGAAACACGACTTTCTGCCCTGCCGTCTCCTGATCCCGACCCCACTTTCTCGTCTTGTTCTTGTACAAAGAGCGTCTCACCCACGTGCTGCTCCCAGCGTCCAACGCACCCATCACCTTCCACAACCATGTCACAAGCCCAGATCCAACCGTGTCGCTATAAGACTGGCAAGACGCTTGGCGCTGGCTCCTACTCGGTCGTCAAGGAGTGCGTCCACATCGATACAGGACGCTACTATGCCGCAAAGGTCATCAACAAGCGCCTCATGGCTGGCCGTGAGCACATGGTGCGCAACGAGATCGCCGTCCTCAAGCGCGTCTCAATGGGTCACCAGAACATCCTCACCCTGGTCGACTACTTTGAGACCATGAACAACCTGTACCTGGTCACCGACCTGGCCCTGGGTGGAGAGCTCTTCGACCGCATCTGTCGTAAAGGCTCATACTACGAGAGCGACGCTGCAGATCTTATCCGTGCCACTCTATCCGCTGTCGCATACCTCCACGACCACGGCATCGTCCACCGCGATCTCAAGCCCGAGAACCTGCTGTTCCGCACCCCCGAAGACAATGCCGACCTCATGATTGCCGACTTTGGCTTGTCTCGTATCATGGACGAGGAGCAGTTCCACGTCTTGACCACGACCTGCGGCACTCCCGGCTACATGGCTCCCGAGATCTTCAACAAGAGCGGTCACGGCAAGCCAGTGTAAGCATTCTTTCTTCTGCCATACTTTTCTCTTACTGACACGTTCCAGTGATGTGTGGGCCATTGGCGTCATCACCTACTTCCTCCTCTGCGGTTATACCCCATTCGACCGCGACAGCAATCTCGAAGAGATGCAGGCCATCCTCGTCGCCGACTACTCCTTTACCCCCCTCGAATACTGGCGCGGCGTGTCGCTGTCTGCCCGAGCCTTTATCAAGCGCTGTCTGACGATCGACCCCACGAAACGCATGACAGCCCACGAAGCCTTAAGCCACGACTGGATCGCTGGCCCTGCACAAGAAAGAGGCAACGAGGATCTGCTGCCCACCGTCAAGAAGAACTTCAATGCCAGAAGGACCCTACACAAAGCCATCGACACTGTTCGCGCTATCAACCAACTCAGAGCTGGTGGCGGCATGGGCATGATGGATGGCGCTCATACCCACAAGCCCGAACGTGTCGACACTGCCGCACCAAAAGACAAGGACGGCGACGTCGACATGGACTCAAAGCCCAAAAGCCAAACTGCCACTGCTGCTTGATTCCTGGAATTCCTCTAATTTCCTTTCGTTTGCCAGCGCATAGCATGTATTCTTGCCCTATCAGAACTCTGGCAGACTGTGGATCCTTTCTGTATACCCCTCCACATCTGCAAGAAGTACACTCTTCAGCATAACATTCATTGATATTTATCTTCCCACATAGCCAATGGCTTTCGCGATCTGATGCTTTACTGTAATATCACGGCCGAATCATGCATTTCCTCTTAGCGTCAGCCGGCTGACAGCTAGCTCCCGCCTGCATCCATCATGTTTCATGTATCGCTGCATCAGCGGCTGGCGCCTTATCGAACATCCCATTCATCGGGCCATTACCCCGCCTGCAGTTGCTCGAATAATATGGTCGTGGTACCTCACCGTCCTTTCGGACTCACTTGTCCACCTCCTTGATCGCAACTGGTAATTATGGCTGCCAAAAGAACTTGCCTCATCGTTGGTGCTACGACCGGCATTGGCAAAGAAACTGCCGAGCATCTCGCAAAGAAGGGTTGGACCGTCATCGTCACAGGCAGGAACCAAGACAAGGGCAACACGGTCGGCCTTGACCTCACAGAAGCATAGACGCCGCCTGACAGTAAGCTCCAGGTCGTAGAATCTATTACACAAAGCGGCGGCAGTGCTTCATTCCATCCTGTCGACATTACCGATCACGCGTCAGTCATTGCTCTCCACGAACACGTTCTCGAAAAGCATGGTCGGCTCGATGCTGCTGTCAACAATGCTGGCATGTCAAGTACCTTCCAACCATTCCATATGACACCGGTCGAGGATCTCGACTCGATGTACAAGCTCAATCTGAAAGGCACCTTCTTCTGCATGCAAGAGCAAATCAAGATAATGTTGAAGCAAGACAAGCATGGCGACGCTGGTAGGAGAGGTACCATCATCAACATATCCAGCATGACTGGCCTCATTGGTGTACCCTATGCCGCTCCTTACTCATCAACCAAGCATGCTGTCCGTCTCTTCTAGTTCTCCTCTCAAGATCATCGCTGATGAATACTGCCAGGTCATTGGCCTTACCAAATCAACAGCACTCGAGTATGCCAAAGAAGGAATCTACATCTCTACTGTTGCGCCTGGTATCATTGACTCGGGCATGCCCGTCTTGGAGGAGAGTTTCAATGGCGGCGTGTTCTCCAGAGAGCAAGCTGCTGCCATGCATCCCTTGAACAGACTTGGTAAATGTGCTGATGTCGCAAAAGCTGTGGATTTTGTGTTGGAGAATGATTTCGTCACTGGTGGTGTCATTTCTGTTGATGGTGGCATCACGGCAACATAGAAACCTTGTCAGATTGCCATTACTTTTGAGCCCAGCTCATCTGAAAGAGACATCAATTGCTTGATAATCATGCAGGCCCCCAAAGCGTGATACTCTCAATGCTGCAAGTAACTGTATCTGTATGCACGGTTGCCTGAACACCAACAACACTGACATTCGTCGCGCCATTGTAGTTCCAAGGGTTGTCAGTGCAGAAGCCTGTATCACTGCCCGTAGCAATCTTGCGAGCGACCCGAATCAGTCCCTAGATTCTCTCAAAAGCGGAAAATCAAGACTTACCAAGATAACGTCCTCGAACACAAGCGGGCCAAAATCCCAAGCTCCATACAACTCGGCGGCAAAAGGTGCATCATTCATGACTTTATCTGCAATTGGGAACGAATTTGTCGCAGAAGCTTCACCGCAATTCTTCTCAATCACACTAACCCACTCGGTGGCATTTGCATTACGCGTATTGTTGAAGAACAACACATCGCCTTCTTCAGCACCAAACCCACCACCCCAGGGTAGACCTGTGATTGCCGGTTTAGCCGCAGCCTCAACAAAAACGGTTCAAAACGTAAAGGTTTGCTTGCTTACTGGGATTCGAACAACACCAACCACTTCCAAACCACCAACTGCCACTTCTCCCATCTAGAACATTTTGATATACGCCAGAATTGTCGGTGCTTTGCAGACCGGGCCAGAGATAGTTTGTCGCGGCTTCGTGGATGGGAGGGACGATCATGTTGCCAGATTGACTGATGAACTCTTGACCTTCTGGTGTGGTGAAGGCCACGAAATGCCAGTCTTGGGCTAGTGTGGTACTGACACAGATCAAGATAATCAGAAGAAAAGGATGTAGGAGAGAGGTCCTGGTGAGATGTGTCGTGACATACATCTTGAAAGGCGGGAATGGCAGAGAAATTGAACGGAAAGTATGGAGAAGCTGCTGGGTGTTTTATAGGTGATAGTGATGTTTTGGCTAGAACTTGTGGCAAGCACACAAAGTTCTCGTGTATAACGTGTATAACGACGTTTAGGGATATGCGGACTGTGTAACCTGAACCTTCACTTAGGGCTTTACCTGTATACACCTCTATGTACTGCCGTTCGGCTTTTGTCTATTAGGGCTTTGTATCGGTTAAATGACAATCATGTTCAAATGCTGCAAGACATGCAGCCATACTTTGATAATCTTGAACATGCCGTATTTTGCAATAGGCAGAGCGCGAGTATGGCGTCGACTTCACAAATTAGGAACAGAGACGGCTCTTGTCGTTGAGGTCTAGACAGCATGCTGAGGCGTGTTGTTACCTAGTGGGGAAGTTGTGCGGCTCAGGCCTGGTGAGATGTCACTGTCTGCCAGTCACGAGATTTGACTCTCCATGACTTCTGGCCACTTTTATTGATTGACGACCTGACACACGACACGAGTTCATCGCCTCGAACAGCTTCACCAAAACATTGTAGATTTTGTATCAATGGCCAATGCAGCAGCCCTAGCATACAATGTAGCAAGTTTCATCTGCGCCTTGTTCGTGCTTGAATTTGGCGCCGACAGATTCATCGACCATACCGCCATTGTTGCCGAGCGCACAGGCATACCCGAATCCATCATCGGCTTACTCACCGCAGGCGCCGAGTGGGAAGAACTTGCTGTTGTCGTAATATGCATCTTGCAAAAACGATCTTCACTTGCCATTGGCAACATCGTTGGCTCGAGCATCTCGAACATCCTGGGTGCCTTTTCGCTGGGCTTGATCTTCCGCAGCAATGAGGAAGACGCAGTATTTGATTCGAGCGCTAGGGTTTATACCCTGGTTATGCTTTTAATTACTGGTCTGGTTATTGGTCTGCACTTTCTAGAATCTCCAATGGTATTGAGAGTCTTCGGTGGCATCTTGATCGGCATATTCGTTCTCTATGTTGGCTCTGTTGCTTACCTGATCACCAAGGGTCGCTTGGTTGCGCCCGAGTCAGACAGCGATAGCGACAGCGACAGTGAGAGCGATTTCGATGAGAACAGCAACGTCAACAATGTCGGCGACAGTCAAGTCAACTCAACAACTCCCCTCTTGGCAACAGAGCAGAACATGTCTAGCTCGCGCCACAAGCACAGCGCAGCTTACCACATCGCATCCCTATTCCTTGGCTTCCTGGCAATCCTGCTGAGCAGTTTTGTCCTATCAAATGCTTCCTCATCCATCGCGCACGAGACCGGCTTGTCAGAAGTACTTTTCAAAGTTGTATTTCTCTCCATCGCAACAACGCTACCAGAGAAGTTTATTGCAGTCATGAGTGGAAGCCGCAATCGCACAGGCATTCTGGTCGCGAATACTGTTGGAAGCAATATCTTCTTGCTTACCCTGTGTATGGGGATTCTCTGGGTTAGTAGGGCTGGCAAGTTCGACAGGGGTACTGTTAATGTTGTCGAGTTGTTTGTGCTTTTGGGCTCGTCGCTGTTCATGACTGTTGTTGTCTGGTTTGGCGCGAGATGGAGTCGTGCTGCTGGTTTACTCATGCTTGTTGCATATCTTGCTTTCTTGGTCTTGGAGCTTACGACCATTCGTCATGGTTGACGAGGCTCTGGTCGACTTGAATCTCGAGCACCATGTGTTGATATAGCACGGCCCTCCGCCAGTCTCTTGAAATGGCATCGATATCCTCCTGCAGCCCCCACTAGGAATCCTGGAGGATCATAAAATTTTGCGTTCGAGAACGAGCCGGAACCCCTTTGAGCTATCCGTCAACCTCTGGGACTGCATGCTTGACACGAAAAATGCAGTGAAAGGATTCGAGGAACTGTCGCGGGACATTCAGCTCCAAAAACTCGTCCGCTCTTGCCCGTCTGCCAAGAATATATCGTATTGGCAGTATCAGCAACCACGATCAAGGATCTGACAACGATGAGCATGTATGCTCTTTAGTCTTATCTAGAAGCGCCTAGTCAATTGCTAAGTGTACACCAACAGCGTCACTACGACCAGAGCCCTTCGACTCGTATCACCACTGATCCAGAGACAACCATGAAGATCACGTCGGCTGTTTTGTAACACGTTGACGCCACAAGCTCTTCTTGGCTCACAGGCCAAGCCTGAATATCGCCAGAACATACCAAGACCGGGGTCCTTGACATGGTTTTTACGCAACATCACCCCCATACGGTGGGATGCCCAGTACCCCAGCGGAGGATCATGCCAAACTTTATTTCAGTGGCAGGCTGCCAATAAAAAGATGGTTCCCCCCTTATCAATCTGATCATCTCAATCTGATCTGATAACTCTCTCTCCACGGCACCTCACTCCTGCACACTTTTTGCCAAGATGAGTCGTAGGTCTTGCTGTTGAACTCGCTTCCGATCACTATTGTCTGACTTGATTATGTAGGAGATGAGTCTCGCTCTCAGAGAACTCAAGCTGAGAAAAAGCTTGTGAGAAAACTCGGTTCGTGTCTCTTTGCACACACCATCAATGTGCACGTCCACTAATCAGTCGACAGATTTCTTTATCATGGTACATGTGATCAATTATCACCAAGTCTGACAAGACTCTAACTCCTGCTCAGACATACTGCTGTGCCGGCTACTTCTTCAACTACCTTGACCGTCAATCATTCGCAAATGCATACGTCTCAGGCCTCCGTGAGGACCTAGGTCTCGTCGCCAACGAATACAGCATTCTGTTGTCGATGTGGACAGCAGGCAGTGTTGTTGGTGGCATCCCCCATTCCTTGATCATCCAGAAAGTTGCGCCTCGTATCTGGCTTCCATTGACCTTGATACTCTGGTCGGGCGTGACGATGTGTCTTGCTGCATGCACAAACTTTGCAGGACTATGTGCAGCTCGCTTCTTCCAGGGTCTTCTCGAAGCGAGTGTCTATGGAGGCAGCATGTACGTCTTTGGTTCATGGTACACACCCTCTGAACTTTCCAAGCGCGCTGCTATCTTCACTGCCGTTGGACAAGTCGGCAGTCTATTCTCTGGTATCATGATGACAGCCATGAACAAATCTTTGCACGGTAACGCCGGCCTCACTGGATATCAGTGGGTGTTCATCATCAATGGTGTGATGGGTATCCCATTTGCCATCTTTGGTTTCCTCTTCTTCCCTGATCTTCCTGAGACGACTAAAGTCTCATACCTTACCAAGGAAGAGATTCAGCTTGCTCACGACAGACTTGGACCTAGAAAAGAGAATAGCCACAGTATCCACTGGAAAACATTGATCCCGAGAGTGCTCAAGACACCGCATATCTACCTTATGGCGTCTTTGTCTGTCATCTCGGGTATGCTGGAAGCCTTCGCCTTCCAAGGCATGTTCCTGCTCTGGATGAAGTACAACAAGAAAAGATTCAGCCAGACTGCCATCACGACATATCCTCTCGGTATCCAGGCCGTAGCCATCGTGTCGCAGATTGGTGCTGGCATGTTCATTGACAGAACCGGCCAAAGAATGCCGATGATTGTTCTGGCATCGGTGATTCAGCTTGTCACAGCTATTCTCCTGTTGCAGCCTCACCTTTCGGATGGTGGGGTCTTTACCGCACATTACCTGAGTGGCACTTCGTTCATCGTCAATCCTGTCATGTATGGATGGGCCAACTCGATCCTTACTAGAACGGGTGACGATGCAGTCAGATCAGTCACTCTTTACACTATGGCCCTTAGTGGACAGACCCTCTACACTTTTTGGGGCTTGATATTGTACCCTGCAACAGACGTTCCATACTGGAAGAAGGGAGCCATAACCATGGTAGTCGTTTGTTTCGCATATGTCGCCATTGGCTATGCTGTCAAAAAGGTTCGTTCATTTTCCCTACACACTGAGCTTCGCTAACTCAGTCGCAGCTTGATGATAAAACGAGACCGATCACTTCGGATGTCACTGACGAAGAAGCATCCGAGGTCGTTGTAGAAAATCAGATGACAAAAGTTGGATAGATCATGAGATCTGTGACACGAAGCGATACAATCAAAGCGACAAGATTTGGGCGACGGCCTCGGACATCCGGTCGCAGAATCACATGATCAGACGACAACATATCGGTACACAGAGGAGGTTACCCTCAGTTACCACAGAGCCTGACCTCGAAAAAAATTCCTTTAGCACTTCCTTGTGACCAAATCATTTGTCATTCGAAGAATCCGGTCATCTGCCTTGTCATATCCTCACTGTGCTGCTTGTTCTTTTATGGTTGATTCAACCTAGGAAGATAACAATTCCTCGAATCGCATTGGGTCAACAACGCTGGATCAAGAAGCTTCCGAGTTGTACCAGATGTATCGACCGTGCTTAACAATCAAGTGCGGAGCTGCACTCGCCGTGTAGGATTGAACAGAAGATCAATGCTTAAACTGGCTGGTGAAGAAAGACACTCAGGCGACTCATCAATGTATCCTTGCGCAGCGAGCGGATGTATCAATTTCCGAGAAAGTTTAGAGGATTCATCCAGTGTTATGTGCAGCATCCCCATGGGAACTCCGCTGGAATGTGCCAATAACGTGATCAGATGTGGGTTACCCCAATGTTGATCACCGTTCATTCCGACACTTCCGATATATACAATGAAGGATGCCCTAAATTTATAGGCAATTATTTGCCGTGTTTACCGATTCCACCGAATGCTGAGCTCCTCATTCGATGCTTGACTACAGTAAGCACTACTTGGCCGGCCTTGCCCTGATCGGGTGTCCGTAGGTTGTTGCTGCGTTGCTCTCGAAGGATTCCTCATTGTCGCACAGAGCCATGTTATATAAAGTGCTTTGTTGTCGCTTGCCTGCTGGCACTGCTTACTCCTCCTGACACTATCTTTGCTTTCGACAGACCCATTCTCAACATGGTTGGCGTCGCCTCAGCCCCTAGTCAGTCCCTTGTGGGACAGGCCAATGCGAACAAAGCAAGTGGTCTCATTGGCATGATCCGAAACCCATACGTGTTCATGACCTGCTCCTTTGCCTCGCTTGGTTGCATGATGTATGGCTATGATCAGGGTGTCATGGGGTCCATCCTCGTCATGGAGAATTTCCAAGCCCATTTTCCGGATCTGACTGGCTCGACCATCCAGGGCTGGTTAGTTGCTTCCTTGGAACTCGGCGCTTGGTTGGGGAGTCTTTTGAATGGCTACTTGTGTGATAAGATCTCGCGCAAGTACTCGATGCTTGTCGCTGTCATTGTTTTCACTCTAGGTACTGGACTACAGACTGGTGCTCAAAATTCTGGCTTCCTCTTCGCTGGCAGAGTCATCGGTGGTATCGGCATTGGAATGTTCTCCATGGTCATTCCTTTGTATCAAGCAGAGATTGCCCCACCAGAGCTCCGTGGTTCTTTGGTCTCTCTACAACAGCTTTCCATCACTATCGGCACTGCTATCGCATTCTGGACTGATTATGGAATGCATTTCGCTGGCGGTACCCACTGCAACCCTGCTGGGGTGCCTCACAATGTCGCTTACCCTAGTGATGGAGAGTTCGACTTCAATGCTGCTCATGGCCATACCTGTACTGGCGAGAAGGCTATCTCGTGGCGGGTGCCTCTCGCTATACAGCTTGTTCCTGCCTGGGTTCTCTTCTTTGGCATGTTCTTCTTGCCATTCTCACCTCGCTGGCTTGTCATGAAGGATCGTGACGAGGAGGCAGTGGCTGCGCTCTGTAGACTTCGTCGTCTACCGGCTGAGGATCCCCTTCTCAACGCCGAATATCTCGAAATCAAGGCGGCCGTTCTTTTCGATCGCGAGACCGAGCAGGAGCAAATTGGTCAAGGCGGAGTCCTTGCACCGTGGAAGTAAGTCTTTCGAATGAACTTGTCGCAAACACACCATTACTGACATACCTTGCTGCAGGGTGCTTTTCACTCCCAACATTTTCAAGCGTCTCGCTATTGGTTGCTGGATTATGATTTTCCAACAGTTCACTGGAATCAATGCCGTTCTTTACTATGCACCCCAAATTTTCGGCTCGTTCGGCCTCACGTCGACGACTGTCACCCTCCTTGCCACCGGTGTGACTGGTATCCTACAGATCCTCTTTACACTCCCAGCTGTATTCTTCCTCGACAAGTTTGGTCGCAAGACTTTCCTTATCGTCGGTGCCATCGGCATGTTCATCTGTCACATCGTCGTCGCAGGCATCGATGGCTCCTATGAGACCGACTGGGCCCAGCACAAAGCTGCCGGTTGGGTCTCTGTCGTCTTTGTTTGGCTCTTCGCTTGCAATTTTGCCTACTCATGGGGTCCCGTAGCCTGGGTCTTGACCCAAGAACTCTTCCCTTCCTCAGTCCGTTCCCGCGGTGTCTCCATCGTCGCCTCGACAAACTGGATCTTCAATTTTGTCATCGGCCTTTCCACTCGCGATATGCTTGATAGCATGAAGTACGGCACTTACATCTTCTTTGCCATTTTCTCCATTGGTGGTGGCATTTTCGTGTGGACTCTTGTTCCTGAGACTAAGAACAAGACGCTTGAAGAACTGGATTTGTACTTTGGAGGTTCAAAGGATAGTCTCGCTGCTGCGGATCGAGAGCGTATGCAGAGGATTGAGGCGCAGTTGGGCATTTCCGGGGCTGAGACGGTGGACGATCTGAAGCCTGTTACTGTTTACACTGAGAAAACTCGTGTGGCTGAGTAGAATCGGAGGCAGTGTTCATTATTGTTCACATGTTATTAACCAATTGTGAATAAGCAAATCTCTAACCTCTATGATGCATCTGCCTACCTTCTCAATTGACATCCACGGTGGAGGTTGTTGTCTGAATTGAGTCGATGCCAGTCTTGTAATCACATAGGAACGCCACGTGAAGTATCAAACAACGTTTTCGGACGTCGCACACTGATCAATTGCCTTCCCATGCGTCGTGATGCGCGAGAGCCGCATTTGCCAGCGTGAGCATGGTCACAATCTCCACCAAAGCATCCTTGAGCAGATGGATAACATCCTTTTCGAAGCTTTTATTCGCATCGAACTGTACCGTTCGGCCCATCCGAATCTCCCTTGCCAAGTAGTCTCGTTCCGACATAAGGTCTTGGAAGCCGCCATTTATGGCCTCGCCGAAGACGCAGCAAAGTAATTGCAGGGGTGCCGAAGGGCATCGAGGGCCTGGTAATCAATTGAAAGTCGTATAGATTGGAGCTCAGGTATGGCACGGTGGCCTGATCTCCTTGAAAAGTTTGTTTCTCGTGTTAACAAACAGGTGGTGCTTTTGAGCGAGCGTGGGCGCAACTATGGGATTCCGCATGGGTCTCCGCCCAGCTGGGCACAATTATGAGATTTCGACAAACACGATAATAATTGGCGACCTGTGTATCAAGGATGAGTTGTTGAAAACTTTGTAACGATTAATCTAGCATGTCTTGAGTGTCTTTTCTGCGATAATTACCATGGTCCGAAGCATCGCAGAGCGTCGAATCCAGGTATCGAGAAGGAAGTCGACAAGGTACAAAAGATCATCGGACGCGACCTAGTCGTAGCTGAAGACATATGAAATACTGTCTTAGGTCTGCGTTGCGTCAAAGCCGCTGTGAATGGATGACGCGGAGACAACGGTGGTCAGTTGTTAAGCCTCAGACATCAACGTGTTGAGTACGAAACGGTGAGAGACAGGTTTCGAAGCCACAAACCACTGGCATCCTCGGTGACGAAGAAGAAGTCAAATCACGCACGAAACTTGGTCTCACAAGTGAGCTGCTGTCGTCATCCCTTCTTCGAATTTCAGACTATTGATGCAGCGGGAAGTTTTACTTTCTCGTGAGGCTTGACTTGATCAAGCGTTTCCGACTCGCTTGGCGCGCTTTGTCAGACAAGTTTTCGAACACTAGAACTTTCATGGAAGAAGCCACAAAAGATGAGACAGAGAAGTGACCGAGTCGTAGTTGAATCAGGGTGGCTGTCGCCAATGCGTGTTCAATTGCTCGGGCTGGCTGCCGATATCTGTTAATTCGGTCAAAAATGTGTCGGTGGTCTAGGTCTCGCCGCACATCGAGGCAAATGGAATCATTGTCGGTACAGAGAATGGTGAGCTGAAGGAAGGAAGAAGCTTGGTTGATTCCAGCTGGTGAAGGATTCCTCATGTAGCTACGGTATCCGACATAGAACTGAGCAGGGTTACCACTTCAGCAGAGGACGGCATGATCGACGAGCAAGGCGTGAGGGGTTGGAATCCACGAGAAAGAGTAGGTTATCAGACACTAGAAAGAGTGACAAACAGGAGGGACAATGAAGCATGATTGGTAAGCAAGGAGCATCGCGATGATACCCATCGAGTTCGATAATCAATGTTTATGGGATGAAAGAACTCTCGTCACTTGTCGTTGTGAGGATCTAATGTTCAGTGAAAATGTCGGGCTTGACAAAACAGGAAAACACGTGGGACATGCAATGCTTGAGAAGGTAATTTCGGCCTAGTCCAAGATATGCAATGCGGCATTCCAATAATTGGGTACCTATATCTGGACACGACTTGACATCCGAACGACCAGGACCTGCATGGACGGCATGACTATGCATCAGATATCATGCAGATAAGCGCTCTGTATCCTGTGGACTGCCGTGATTGGCAGTACATACTGATAACAGTATCCATACTATGTTCATTCGAGCAAAGCCCAGGGCGATCTACGGATCATTTGCCTAAAGCCGTTGATTCGCGATGGCGCACGAATATGGCCCCAGGGCCAGGCCAATTCGGTGGGACGACAGAGTGCGGACAGTAGCTGATAAGCCACGTGGCGGACAGAATAGAGCATGAAGCCATGGTCCAGACATTCGAACGCTGTGATATCCAGTTCAGCTCGAATGGTGCCCAGCGACTCTGATAGCCGAATAGATGCTTCAGCGTGCGGCGCGACCTGAGCCTCGGATGTGTCCGCTTCTGAAAAATGATGATTCGACCATCATGGTGTGCATGATCTACCGCCGCATGGATTCGGCAAGATCAAAACATCCTGTGCCACATGTGCTCGATCATGCTTGAACTATTGCTTTTGTATCTCGCTACCTTATACAGGACATTCGGCGAAGAACGGGATTAGTACAGACTCTCGGTAGGCGCAAGTTATCTCTCGGCAGAGTATGCAGGTACCTTGCCCTGGCAGGCATGTTCTCAGAAAAAATTGGTGGGTCGGTCGGACGACTGGTAAGGAGCAAGAAGCATAAAATCTTTGCTTGGCTCCGTTGCTCCGTTCGAACAGCAAAACAAAGTTGGCTAGCGTTTCCAGTTCTCGGGACTCGCGAACGTCTGTGGACGTGTCGACATATCCATGTCGCCCGATTGGTCAGCTTTCAGCTTCATGCTGTTCTTTAGTCATAGGGGAATGCTTGATGGCCAAATTAAAGTTGGCTAGTCAGGACCAAATTTCTTCCGTGATCCGAGACCGAGGTACCTCAATACTATGCCCACAACCTTCTCCGGACTCCAAGCCCTAGATCCTCTATAATAGCTTTAATCGTGTTATGGTGTTCACAGCCCTTAAGCATATGCACGTTCCAGATTTGATGATAGTCGCTTCTGTTGCTGCCGCTGCCGCTGCCGCGATTCACACCATCTTCGCTGTTTCTGTCGTTATCGCGTCGATCAACCTTATGAAAACCGTTGCTGCATGCGTCGCCAGCCTACGGCCGTTGTCTTGCTCTGCGCTGAGACAGGCCGAACCCACCCGTGCATCAATATCAATACGCAGAGGCATATTCTTGCAAAAGCTCGAGAAGCTTTCCGCTGAACGGTCAACCGCTGCGATGAGTTTTGGGGTCGCACGCATATCGGTACACGCTAGTAGCTGCATCGAAGAAGCAGCTATGATTAGCTTGAGGCCGCATGGCACTCTAGCTCATTGTCCGGTTTGGGGCTCGATGCGGCACTATCACAAATATGCTTCCTGATATGCGCGCCGCATTGAAAGCTTCAAGCTGAGCTGAAGCACAATTTCAGGTGGCGCAAGTCAATATTCTCAACACTCAGACAACGTGTTTGATCTGGAAGAGCATCTACTGGCATAAGAGCATGATCTCAACTCGATCAATTTTCCAGACGTTACAGCCTTCAGAACTTTACCTCTTGTTTGCACTCTTTGACAAGCCCAGTTGCATACAACGATTCTCAAGTCCTTCTCTGGTTTAGGGATTGATATTTCTTTTTCTTTTCCACGGCTTGTGCCATCATGGGCCTGAAATCGTATTTCCGCAAGCCTGTCGACAAGCAGGTCGAAGCATCAAATATCGTGCAACCCACAGTCGATGCATTAAACCTGCAGACCCTATCGTCTCCTTCGTCTGCGCGTCATGAATCTGCCGATTTCCAGTCCGGTGCCATGCAGCGACTCAACGACACCAAATACGGCATCATGGTTAATCACATATGGTCTCAGCAGTCACAATTGCTATGGTACGCTGGGGGTGAGGATGAGGGTGTCGTGATCAAGTCTGGGAGGGACCAATTCGTGTGTTGCCCTCCAGACTTGGAAAGGCCTGGTGGATTCTTCGAAGCTATCAAAGCTCTGAATGTCAAGGTACGTATGTTCGATTCTTGTCAGTACATAAGTTGACATTTATCCTCAGAGCGCCATGACGGTCAACACACGCGTCATCAGCATCCTGCTTGCGAACAATGATGGAGTTTCGATCCCTATTCGGGACGATCTGCGTATACAGGTTCTTCCTGATATCTCATACCTCAGTCGTTGCGCGAAACATCAGTTTGCCGCCTTCATAGCTGATAGGGGAATACTGGTAGTTTGGGACGACAAGCCAGAGAACCTCGTTCGCCGCGTCGACATAATCGAAAAGGGTCTTATGGCTATGATCTGGTCTTTCGACGGTGAAGAGGATTACCCAGAGAAGGAGAAAAGCAGTGGAGTGTCGATTCACGAAGTCGATACCATTGCAAGCGAAGAGGGCTCCACTGAGAAGCCCCGCCGTCTCGTGCTCCTTCACTCAATCACAACTGGCCTTACGCTCTGCCTGATGATCGTTACACTCGGCGCTGGTATCCGGAAACTCGTTGTGGAAATCCAATGGGATCATTCTTATACTCGGTTGGCATTGCTGGCGACTCTCCCACCCATCATGTGGGTTGCTTTTTTCTTTCTCCAGGCCCTTATAGGAAACCTTTTCCAGATCTTCGGACCAATCAGCCAGGTGCAGAACAACACCAAATATTACTCTGGACTACCACCAAAGAGGCTTCCAGCTGGCTCATCTTTGCCACACGTCACAATCCAATGCCCCGTCTATAAGGAGGGTCTGGACACAGTCATCGCCCCAACAGTGTATTCAATTAAGGCAGCAATTTCTACGTATGAGATGCAAGGTGGGACAGCGAATATTTTCATCAACGATGATGGAATGCAATTGTTGTCAACTGAAGAGGCAAGAGCTCGTCAGGACTTCTACGAAGAACACAGTATCGGCTGGGTAGCACGCCCCCGGCATGATCCAAAAGGAGAGCACGGTCCTGAGCCGTTTGTCCGTCGAGGCAAATTCAAGAAAGCTTCGAACATGAACTATGCCCTCTCGGTCAGCAATCGCATCGAAGAAAAGATGGCCAGCCCAGACCCCAGACCTAGATATTGGACTCAGGAGGACGAAGCCGCTGCTTACGTTAAAGCGCTGGAGGAAGTCATCGAAGAAGACGACAATAGAACCTGGGCTGACGGCAACGTTCGAATGGGCGACTTTATACTTCTCATCGATTCAGACACACGAGTACCAGTCGATTGCTTGCTTGACGCTGTCAGCGAGATGACGGCCTCGCCACAGGTTGCGATCATACAGTACTCGTCCGGCGTTATGAATGTGACGAAAAGCTTTTTTGAGAGCGGCATCACGTTCTTTACGAATATGGTCTATACTCAGATCAAGTACGCGATTGCAAACGGTGATGTCGCACCATTCGTTGGACACAATGCTATTCTCCGCTGGTCCGCAGTACAGAGTATCGCATATGATTGCCCAGACGATCACAAGGAGAAGTTCTGGTCCGAAGCAACTGTATCAGAGGACTTTGACATGGCTCTCCGGCTACAGACTGCTGGATATATTGTGCGCTTCGCCTCTTATGCTGGAGACGGCTTTAAAGAGGGTGTTTCGCTCACCGTTTACGATGAACTGGCTCGCTGGGAAAAGTATGCCTATGGCTGCAGTGAGCTGGTCTTCAACCCACTACGATACTGGTTCACACGAGGACCATTCACTAAGCTGTTCCGCTCGTTCATTATGTCGGGAATGCCGTTCCCATCAAAGCTTACTATTCTGTCATACATCGGAACATACTACGCTATTGGATCTGCATGGCTCCTTACCTTACTGAACTACTTTATCGTTGGTTGGTACAACACCGTCCTTGATAAGTACTACCTCGACTCTTTCAAGGTCTATCTGTCCATCATTGTGGTGTTCACAGGCCTGGGAAACCTCGCGCTCGCGATCCTTCGTTATCGTACTGGGGAGAAATCTTTACTCAGCTCGCTGGTCACCAACATCATGTGGATTCCTCTCATGACTGTCTTCCTTGGCGGAATATCCCTCCACGTATCACAAGCACTTCTATCGCATCTTGTCAGTATTGACATGAACTGGGGCGCCACATCCAAAGAAGTGGAAAACACGACATTCTTCAAAGAGGTGCCGAAGGTGATGAAGAATTTCAAATTCACGTTCTTGTTCTGTATCGGCACCGCGATTGGCATGGTAATGCTTGCAACGGTGGTCCCTGTCTTCTGGAGGATTGATCAATTCTTTGCTATTTTCCCACTAGCGAACATTATTGTCAGTCACTTTTTGCTGCCCATCGCTCTTAATCCCAGCCTTATGCTTTTCACCTGGTAGAATTACTTTTAGACAATTAGATAATTGCTTCATATATCTTTTTCCTGCAGCCAACAACACTGAAACAATGGACATGACCCTGACTGAAGCAAAATGGTAGCAGCCTCCCTTCGCATGATTTGACAGCTTCGATTCACCTTCATAAGTTATCCTATCGACAAGATCCTTTGACTTGAAGCACATGCCGGCTGTCAAATGATTTGCTTTAGATATCTTCTTGAAGATTCCCGTCGCCTGTCTCGGTCGGCCTGAGATACGGCGGGCCGGTCATGATTACCCGATTCGGACTTCGAGACGAGAATCTGGGGCTCGCACTCCACTTTGCAAGCTTTTGAGCCTCACCGATAGCGATCGGACGATGAACATCATGTTACTGAGTACCCCGCTCTGGATATCGCTGGTACGGGGACGCGACACTTCGTCTCGAAAGCTAGATTCGGAATATACTTGAGGGTGACTTGATACAGCAGTCTACTGTGATCCATAGTTGCGCCTGGCGATTGTATGCCGAACCTTGGCGTTAGATAGGAGTATATTATTACCCATGGCAACACAAGCAGAGAGCAACTTTTTCAGTACACGACACAATTCATGATTCTATCCTTGAGACAGACAACATGCCGCACTTTGACAGCCCTAAACGATCTTTTGAGGACGTCTTTGATCCCAAGGTGACATTGGCTCTTACAAGCCAAACGACTCTGCTGACATTTCAAGATTCACCTGAATTATTCACCTCCAAAGAAGGTGTACCCTCTTGCCGATCTCAAACTTGAGCCTCGCGAGTTTTCAACTCCAATAGCAGCGACGGCTCCGTTCCAGTTCCTCAGTGAGGCGGGAGTTTTGGCCTATCGCAGAGCATTGTTTGCTCCCGACGTACTTGATCAGTGCGCCGTTTCGCCATACCTCAATACACTGATCATTCGAGACGCCGCGAAGAAGTCCAAGTTTCTTCATGACTTCTGGAATCACCCCGAGACATTGGAGATTCTTTCTGGACTGATGCAAGCTCCCTTGATGCCCATCTTCAAGATTGAGGAAGGCTTTGTCAGTGTTCAAACAAAGTCGTCGAATGATATCGAAGAGATGAAGAAGGAGGTCAGCATTGAGCCGGATCATCAGTTGATCGAATTGAGTGAGGAAGAAAGAAATGCCGATCCACTGAAAACTGGGTCCATTATACCCTGGCAGTAAGTCATTGAACTGTGTGAAAGTTGATCATGGCTAAGCACGCTCAGCTTCGACTCTTATCCTTATGCTTGTATCGTCATGTTGAGCCATACTGATGGGATGGTTGGTGGCGAGACATTCATCAAGTGCGGCAATGGTACCATCACAAAAGTCGAGGGGCCTAGCTACGGGTGTGCATACATCATACAAGGCGGTATCTTGGGTAAACCGCGGGTTTCCTTGTTGCGCGAGGACCATGACTGACTTGCTGCGTCAGAACATCTCGCATCCAGAGCTAAGGGAGTCGAGGAGAGGATCGCAAGTGTGGCATCTTTTCGTGCGAACATCGACGGCTTCTACGATATCAGCTTCACCACGAACACTCGCCCAATGACCAACACTCAAGACCTTCACCGAGAATGGGCCGAGTATCGGTTGGAAGTCCTCAACAAAGAGATCGAAGCTACACTTGAGAAAGTCAAAAGCAATCAGATCTCTACCGAAGACTTCCATGTTTTTGCGAAACGGCAGGTCGTCTATATGCAACAGACGTATCGACAGATGGTGCCAAGGACTCTGATCGACAAGACCATCAAGGACCATGGTAATTATGGTTACTATCATGCCGACAAGATCTGGGAGGAGATTCGCAAATGTGCCGGCTTCGAAATCATGCTTACAACTGCCAACGAGATGGAAGACTCATGGGAGCCAGGTCGCGATTATCAAGGCGATCTGGCAATGTCTAGATTGTCACTGAAGAGAGGTGAAATTCTCCAGGGGCAACTGGGGAGGGTCATTCCTAGCGTGAACCCCTGGCAGAGATATTCGATGGGCGATGAACTGCTCCGCCAAGGTCAGCGCGAGTTGTTTCTGGGATGGAGTGACTACTTTGGGTTCTCGAGCTTGATGCTATCGAGTGTCCATAAGTGATCGGAGATAAAGGATGGTTGGCTTATGGGTGGGGTAGGGTACGCAGTGACGTTGGGCGTGGGTGGGGTCGAACCACTTCCCTCGCAGCCGAAAACGAGGGGGCGTATCGTAGATAGCGAGATTGTGCAGGAGAGGCGATGCCATTCTGATATATGCTAGGATGACTCTCATCACTTCTAGAGTTCTCCTTTTGCCCCTTGGGCGCGTGCACGGCTTGCATCTCCTCTCGATCGGACACAAGTGCATTTAGAGATGAACCTCCTCTTCTCAATTACACCAAGTCTCACCCGAGTATTTGAACATTGAGGGTCATATATCTAACGCGACACCATCACACTTTCTACTGCATGCTCATCAGCAGCAACAGGTCACCACATAACCGTGTCTTGCCGTCTTTGTCATTGATGAAGCGTGGCGTCAGATCTACCACAGGATGCTTACAATGCAGGACAAGACGGGTATGTAGTTAATAGGTACAATGCACAGAGAACCAACTGAGCGGGAACAGGTCAAATGCGACGAAACGCATCCTGTCTGTCTTAGATGCGCCAAGAGAAAGTCTGATTGTACCTACAAACCGAAGTATCAATGGTGCGAGGTCGTGACGTCGGGAAGACAAGACAAGCCAGAACAGCAATTGAGAGAGCAGCAACACGAGCACCTGTCGACTGGGTCGACTACAGAGACGACACTCGACGGAGACTGGTCGCAGCAGGCCAGTCAGGAAGCTCCTGGCTCATCAGCGCCAGTGCACAGTGATGAACACATCGAGGTCTATGGCGCAGCTCTCGACACAATGCTTGATTCCTGGAATGCCGAAACTTCGTGCGACTGGGATCTTCCCGATCCCATGTCAGTATGGCAGATGTCACTGGACTCATTTACCATGGAAGTGTCCTCGAGTCGTGAGACCGACCTGATTGACTTCTACCTTGACAAAGTGGCTCCTCTTTTCTGCTGCTATGCTGCCAGTGATAAGAACCCGTTTTACCATCTCATCGCGAGGGCATGGAATAGCGAGCACAGATTAACAAAGTATGCGGCAGTCATTAAGGCATCGCAGAGTCTTGCGGCGGTCTTCATGTCTGCACGCGAGTCCAGTCTGCAGCCAGTAGCCAAGGACCTCCAGAAGCAAGCACAGAGTCAGATCGATTATCTTTCGGCGACTCAGGGATACGATGCCATGACGTTCCTTGCTCTGCATTTACTAGGAGCTAGTGCCATGTATTCTCAAGATGTGGCTTATTGGCAAGTCGTGGCAGCAAAGCTACAGAACATCCTAAGTCTTAATGCACTCGGGAGTGAGAATCAGACCACAAACATCAGACTACATGAGCGCGAGCGACAATTCTTCTGGGGCCTCCACATGTATAATCATCTGCACACTACGTTTGTGGAGAATCATCTCGCGTTGCCATCGATTCAGATACCAGAAAGATATATTGAGGACATGGCAAGCATGCGCCGTTACCCGCATCCATACACAGGGGGTTTCTAGTCATATAACCTTCACATTGCTCAAAGTCGGCAAGCTTATCAAGCGGCAACGACAAATCGCCACAAGCCGCTCTTTTGCGACTAAACAACAGATCGAAGACATCAAAGCCCTTATATCTGAAGCTGATGACCTCGAAGCCATGATCATTTCGCGGAAAGTTCCTGGCCCAGATGAGATTAAGGATCCTCACGATGAGGCGACGCCCGTGGAGCAGTGAGGATGGCCGAATGCCACCGTGACGCCGCTCTGTTACAGCTATACCGCGTCTTTCCAGATGTTTTGCGGCGTAGATTGGGGCTCGATGGTCCGGAAATTAGCAAAGAAGGATTTACTGTCCGATTTGCGTTGCGTATTCTCGATACCCTCATGTCTATTCCTAGTCGATCAGGCACCACACCGTTCCAGACTGTGTTGTTGCTTGCCATTTCCAGTGAACTCAGGTTCGATCGGGATGTCTCGAACACAGATCAGGTGTCTCACAATATCAAAATCGCCAATGCGCGTGAGTGGATGCTCACTAGATTGAGTGAAGCGCAGCAAAGAATCCCAGGTCAAAGGCTATATAATTTACTGAAAAGAGTCAGACAGATGTGGGTCTATTCAGACGCAGCTGACCCTTGTGAGGTTGTCTTTTGGCTGGATTATACGATGTAGACAATGCTAGCAATACTTCGCATCGTTCGTGATAACGGCAAAGATCTTGTATCAATTTTTGGTCTAGTCTGTTCTATATGTCTATTTCTATATATGTCAAGTTGAAAAGTCTTGTGGCGCTTGTCGGGTATTGACAACTTACCATTGACGGAGGGGCAACGCTATGCAACATTTGATTATCGTCCTGAAACATCGCAACCCTCCTCCAATGTCTGCTCTAGAGAAACAGACTGCGGTCTGCTATCCTTCTCGCTGTGTCCAGAGTTCTGGATGCCCCAATGACCGTCTCCAATAGCCTTGCCCTTGAACTTGATTAGCAATCCAACAACCATCGGACCAATGATGGTGTTGAGCAGAATAGCCCAGACGGCAGTGTGAAAGCCTGCGTCGCTTACGTATGGCGTGGAATTGTATCCAATCTCAACAATGAGCAGGCCAATCTCACCACGAGCAACCATGGCGAAGCCAAGAAGCCCTGCGGAAGGCATGACTTGTGATAGCGATGGTTTCGGCCCATCAGTCTTGCGCTTGGTGAGCAAGTCCCACAGAGGAACCCACATGCCGACAACGACCTAAGACAAACGTCAGAACACATACACTCGAGGTTTCAAACGAAGCAACGCACTTTTGCAACCAACATCAGGAGCGTGTACACGATGCCATGCCAAATGGCGGATCCAGTCCAGAGATCGAGGAAAGGAATCGCAAACCCGATGCTTGCGAAGAACAAAGGCTCCATGAGATATTTCTGAATATCGGCAAAGTATTTCTCAAAGGTATGAACGAAGGTGGGGCTTTTGCCATCGTGCTGTTCACCGTGTTCTCGAGAGATTACCACGAATGGGCCCTCAGGATGCTTTGATGGCAGATAGGTCAGGAAGGATCCAGCAAGAAATGCCCCAAAGAGCACACTCGTGCCTGCATACGCGGCAATAGAGATGAAAGCGCAAAGGACCAATACCATCAGAACAACGTTGGACAGATGATCGAATCGCGCAAAGTGATGTTCGATGTAGCGCCGGAACACCGGCGCGAAGACGTATTTGCAGATCAGAGGAGTCAAGGCGGCCATCAGAAAAGATGCAAGTATTGGCCTGCCAATAAGCCATCCAAGGTTGACATCTGCACCGCCAGAAATAGAACCGAGATCGTGAATGACACTTGACATAACCAGGCCAGATACATCGTCGATGACTGCAGCACTAACCAGTACGGTGCCAACGCGAGTTTGAGACAGGTCAATATCCTTGCTCGCGCCTCCTATGACAGCGAATGTGGTTCCGAGACTGGTAGTTGAAAGAGCAGCGCCGATGATGAACGTTTCGACGGCACCATAGCCAAAGCCGAGGTAGAGGAGCAGGTAGGATAATCCAATCGGAAATAGGACGCCTGTGGTTGCGGCAAGCATGCTCAGAAAGAAGTTCTGTTTGAGCAAATCCATGCGCGAGGTGAGACCGCCCTCAAAGATGATAAGAATCAGACCGATGTAGCCAATGGCAAGGAACGTCTCTTGCCAGATCTCAAGAAGAATGTCTGCCAAAGGCATGCCATAGATGATGCCGACAATGATTGGCCCAATAATGCCGGCTCGGACCACGATCGAGGACAGCCATTCTGCGAGTGAGAGGAAGAAGAAGAATGAAATCAAAACCAAGATCAGGACGACTGTTGAGAGGATCAGCGGTCATGGGCAGAGACGATGGAAATGGAATACTTGCTAGAAGGCTCTTCATAAGCTAGAAATGAGCCGGCCATTCTACTGTAATAAGTAACACAAGATATGTGAAAAGTGTAGACTGAACATGGGAACGGACGTTGCAATGGTTTTTGTATTGGCCATCTAGTCATGGCAAACAACCGGCCAAGACATACCAAGGATACCAAGATCAAGGACAAGAATTCGTCATAGGGTCGGAGGACGGATCTGGCGCGGCGGATGGCAGCGGTGACATTCTCGCCGATGCCGGATCACTTGGCAAGCACAAGAAGCAATTTGCCTGTCACATACGTATCAGCCTTCGTCAGTGCCTGCAGAAAGTGCATACAAGCGGACAGCACGACCTTGACGAGGCAGTTCGAAGTTGCCCTGTTAGAAGGACCGAGTAGGAAGAAGGAAGAGAGGGCAGCGGAAACAAAAGGCCAAGGACTTGGCATCTACGGACGCCACGCAGCGCACGGGCTTCCGTCTCTCTTATCGCCCCTCGAGGGCGTAGGGCAGGGTGCCCTTCGTGTCCATTGAACCAACAACTTCGATAGGCGGTGTCTGAGCAACTGACTTTTTCATGCGACTTCTGGACCTGATATCTCAGTCTGTATCTACTCATTGTCTGGTTGGACTTCGATTCGGGCTGGAAACAAGGGCATATGGGCTCCTATATGCAGTAGCGCTCTATCGGCGAGCTTGGGGACAGAGTCCAACTTCCGAGCGATCAAATCGTCCGGGGTTGAGCAACCTTACTGACAATGATCCAACGGATTTATGTATCGCCACATTGCGCTTGCAAATAGCCAAAGAAGAAAGCAGCATTTCAAGCTACCACAAAGGTCTCTGATCTACTCCATCCTGCAACACCAGATCCTTGACCTTATCCACCAGACCCTCTTTGGCTTGGAAAAGCGCAGGATGGTCCTGCTTGATGAAATCGGCACCCTTCTCAGCAACCATGTAGACGGGATTCTGAATACGCGCATCTGGGATCAGGGGAAAGACGCTCGCATCGATGACGCGAAGGTTGCGGACACCATGGACTTGGAGACGACCGTTGACGACGCCTTCCTCGATCGTTGGACCCATTCTGCATGAGCCGCAGGGGTCTGGGATATGTGATTAGTTTTGGTCCAGATGGGAACATGGGGAGTGGCGGTGTGGGCTAAGCAAAAAAAGAAAGGGTCAGGGAAGAATGAAACAAAAAGACAAACTTACGATATCCACTGGTCAAACGTCCTTTCAACCATTCAGCCATGCCCTCATCGCTGTCTCTGACCTTGTCCAACCCCAACATATGTTTGGGATTGCCCTCGACACTCTTGCCTTGGTCGATTTCGCCCTTGGCAGCACCATAAACACCATCGCTTGTTCCCTTTGCTTGTGGTTCCCCTTTGACGATGCCACCATCGCCTTCTGGATATTCACCAACGATGAGATCCTTCATACCGTCACCTCGGAGTATGATTTCATCTACAAAGCGGACACCTTCACGCAATGCGACGGCATCGAGGGGATGGTCGAGATAGTTCATGTTGATGAGCGGGAAGTCAAGGGCATTTGCGGACTGTATCTTCAAGGAGCCACGGGAGAGTGGACGGAGGAGAGAGACAACGATTGTCATGTAGTTTCCCTCGGTGGGCTCGGGGACATGGGGCAAGAATGGCGAAGCAAAGCATGGCTATCAAAAGATATCAGCTTGGGTAGAGTTTGTAAGGCGATGAATGAGAACATACCAAGAAGTCATACTCAAAATGTGGCTGGCCTTGTGGACCTAGGGGATCATGGCCTCTCGTCTCCTCCTCTTCTCTCCATTCTTTGCATTTCTTGAGCCGATCATCCACTCTTGCGAAGCCGCACATTTCCAAGAGACTCGAGGCCAATGGACCTTTTCCGGTGGCTTTGTATTCTGCCATCGCTTCGAGATTCTTGACGCCCGGTCTCAGCGCATCATCGACACTATGGCCATCTTTCACCTTGAAAGAGTGGGGCGCCACAGGATGGTCCTGGATATTCTGGCCGACATGCGGAGACTTGACGCTATGACCGATACCGGATGAGACGGCTGTCAGATCTGTCATGGATCCTTGGGTGGAAGGTCCAATGCCGCTCAACAAAAGCAGTTTCGGGCTTTCAAAGACACCGCCGCAGACGATGACTTCTTGCCGAGCGTAGTATGCCTGTGACTTGTCTGTAGCATGCGTCTGTACACCGACACATGTCTCGCCGCTGAAGAGCAGACGATGAGCCATGGTTTGAGCCTTGACGGTGATGTTCTTGTGGCCCTCGAGAAAAACAGTGGAAGGTTCACGATGGCCGTTGCTGATTGTGTGACAGACATGTGCGAGACCATTGACCGTGCCGTTGTAGATGTCGTCAGTCAGGCGATGACCCTGAGACTTCCATGCTTCTTGCAACTTGGAAGCCAGCGGAATGGGAATGGCAGGATTGATCTGGAGAGGGCCATCTGAGGCGACGTGAGCAGGATCGTGGTCGAGGATCTGGTGTCTATCGTGCATCGTGCCAGGCTGTGATTGTCAGTTTCGTGCCCGATAGGATGAGGACCGCGACACACCTTCTGGAAGTATGGAAAGCACTTGTCCCAGCTCCATTCATTGCCGCCGTACCTGCTCCACTCGTCGTACGTGGGCTTACTTCCGCGCAGCCACGTGTAATAGTTTAAACAACTGCTTCCACCCAAGATCTTTCCTCTTGTGTTCTTGGCTTCATGCCTTTTCTCGCCCTCTCTATCCCAGAAAGTGATGGGGTATTGCCAGTCATATTCGCTTTCGACAAGTTGGAATGCCAGCGCGGGAGTCGAGATCTTTTCTTCCTTGAGGGGGTTGCTTCGTTGTTCAGCAAAGATAACACAGATGAAAGTAAGGGACCGCACTCTTTACCAGCCTCGATTACAAGAATGGAGAGATCGGGGTTCTCTGCCAGACGACCTGCGACGCAGTTACCTGCAGTTCCGCCTGCATATCATCAGCCTCACATCTTCCGGTCCGTTGCTGTTCTTACTGACCTCCAACAACGATAAAGTCAAACACCTTCTCTTCTTGAAAGAAACCAAGTACCATATTGACGGTATGCAAGAATTGACGGGAATGAGAGGAGTGCAGGAACGACAAGAAAACAGGAAAGCTTGTTCTAATACTTGACCTTGGGTACTTGAACCTGGAAGATACGAAGTATACGACTAGATCGCTGTTGCTGACTATTGTCAAGGCTGCGGAGAATTAATCTAACCATGTCATGACGTTTGGCCTTCGTCAACCATCACGGTGTTGCAGGGATAGGGTGGAGAAGCCTCGTCAGAACCGCATAGGGGTACACCTCGCTATCACTCCGTGGACATCCGCTTCTTTATCACGCCCGAAGTTGAATGAGATTCACTTGTCGATCAAGCAAGGAAGGTTGACGGTCTGAAGGAGATGTGATGTTGGAAGAAGGAAGGAAACCCTCGGAATTTCGGGAGCGGGAGTTTGGCGGGATTTTTGAGCCGCAGGCGCGGAGAAATCCGTCTCTGCTTGGTGTAGGTCATGTTAGTAACACGTATGTTGCAGAACAACATCCTGCCTTCAGCTTTCTGACACAACTCACTGGAAGATCTTCCTACTTTGAGTCATTGACATGAACAGTAGGTGGGCAACAATGTAGATGAAAAAGTTGACCACTACAGGCCTTGATCAAGGTTATACCTGACGTACAACCAACACACTCTCATTACACCCTCACATTCCTTCTTTATGTTCCTCCAGCTACACATCAACCACCTCTTCTACCATCACTCTAGCAGAAAAGATCAACGCCGAGGGAGCCACCGGGAGTGTAGGCACAGATGGCCTTGCTAAGAGTGCCGTCCAAGTTGTCCTTGTCAGAAGTAGCGTTATCGGCGCAGAAAGGAACAGAGTCAATGACGCCGTAGGCAAGAGTCTGTATCACTTTCGTCAGCAACCTGTTCTTGACAAGCATCAGGCATTTTATTAAGGCAGACTTACATCAACAACACCCTCAAGGGAACGAAGGACAGCAGCGACAGGGCCGAGGAAGATGCTCTGCAAGAGGCCAGACTTGCCAATGACGACGTTGAGTAAGTTCTGGTGGACAACGACAAACTACAAAAGAGTCAACACAGCAAGTCAGAAACAACAGAACACGACTTACCTGGTGGAAAGCATCGCAGACTTGCTGCTCGGCAGCAGTGTCGGTGTAGGAAGGAGTGCCTTGCATGGAGGTGATGGCATCAGTACCAGTTTGAATGATGCCCTGGAACCCATTGATGACATCGTTGAAGCTGGAGCTTCCACTGCCAGAGCTAGGTCCGAGAAGAGGGACGCCATTCATGGGGTTGAGAGCCTCGGCAACAGTGGTAAGACTCTTGGATTGCTGAGTGATCTTCTGGATGGTTTGGACCATGGTATCAGAGGAAACCTCACGCTTTTCGATTGGACTGGCGGTGGCAGTGGTGGCAAGGAGGGCCACGATGGGAGTGATGAACGAGGAGAAGTGCATATTGAATGATTCGAAGAGAAACTGGCTGGGAGATGGAGGCTGATGGATGTTGATGGATGATGAAGCTGATTTGACTTGTTGATGATTAGAAGAAAGACTGCGTCCTCGTCTGACTTATATGTTCAAGTCCTGCAGCGAGAAATAGTGATTTCTCATCTTGAAAGCACAGATTACCGTAACATAAGGCACGAATGAAGATGTGATGGTCATGCAACATTCATTCTGCAGCGGTCTCATTGGGATAGCCAGTCGTTGTTGCCAGAACGAGAAGAATGGATATGCGGTGTAGTCAGCCAAGAGAAGACATGAGATATCTGAAAATGGACCATGCACACGCCCTGCGCTCGTGTTGGCCATATTTCCCAGGTCCACATCTTGAACGGTATAGAAGCTAGCCATACGCAGTCAGCGCATCTATCTGATCTGCATTCGTCGGAGATCCCGCTTGACTAGCGGTGGGAGAAGGGTCTGCTATTGTACTAGCAGTGGAGGCAGACGTTATGGTTGACGATCTTCGCGCCGGCCCGGTGCGAAGCCCCTTTTACGCTTGTCAGTCGATCGTCGTACCAAACATTTATAGATCATTATAGCGTGACACGAGAACGACTAGTAATGTACATGGCAAACAAGCATTGGACAAGTGCCAAATAGTCGCGCACTCGGCCTCCAAGGATGCGAAACAACGATCGGCGAAGCAGTTGGATTTGTAGAGATTGGACCGTGCGAGCGATTAACAACAACGTGGATGCAGAGCCCCAATCGGGTAAGCTTAAATTGATTGACAGGACATATGTATGTTTATGGTCTGAGTCATTGACGATCACTCTTCTGAAGTGAATTTTGTGGTGAATCTGCACAGCAGATCCTGGGCACATTGTTGCAGCCTATGTTCGGGTCATCGGATCATCATATAGAGATGACGGAAGAAATTCTGCCGTATTGCAGAGCTTCCACGTACGGCCGCAAGTCCGACGACCTTGCGGTAGAATTTCATCTTTGATTCCGTCGTGCTCAAGATAGCTGAACGAGGGGACTCGATGCATACCGTTGCGAGTCAGCTTGAATGCGGTGCGGAACGAGCATTGGCAAGCTGCGCCTTCGTGCAGTCACTAAATCGTCCAACGTCTAAAGCACAGACTGGATGATCAGAGTAGCATGCATTGCTGTTGCATACCCATAGCTGTGGATGGTGTGAATTTTAGTTCTTGAGGCTTGGTGCTACCCCTCTTTCAGCCATCTTTGTCTTCGCCTTTTCGATGCAGTAAGCAAGCGCCCAGACACTCCAGCAAATAGCGCTCACGGACGCTGACACTCTGCAAACCATAGTGTTCAATCTGAGATCGTGCAGAGCTCAGGATTTCAGCGATCTGTTCTGGCCTGTCCAGGTTCGAAAGAGTCTGCTGGTCCATCGTTGTTACCGGCATTGACAAGTCTTGGAAGTGTTGTTTGACAAAGTTCGAATCGTTCAGCAAGGCGCAGCAAAATGATTCGAAGAGATCGCATCTGACAAGAAAAGAGAGTATATCAGATATTGACATATCTGCCAAGCCAAGATCCAGCCAGACACCGGAGCTATTCTGAAAGCTTGCCCGGACAGAATGGAGAAAGCGAAGTTCTGCAATCAGGGAGACCTCGTCAAGAACAGTGTCCTCCTTGAGAAGCCGACGTTCGTAGCCGATCTGGGTGCGGTACACCCAAGTGCCGTAGACAAAGGTCAGACCACAAACGAGGAGAACAGGGTATGGCCACCAGTGAGTTGGAGTGACCATGGACAAGGCACCAGACACGAGACAGACAATCGCGGTGAGAATGGCATGTCCTTGAGTCTTGCGTATGCGACTTGACAAGAGTTGGTTTGCGATATCATCACGGAGATGTTTGGATGCACCGCAACCTTGTTTGTGAGCGCGTGTCCAGACATGAACAGACCAGCCGACATTGCAGAGGCCGTACAGACCAGGCAAAGAATTGCCAATATAGCCAGATAGTAAGTTACTTGCGAACCAGACTTTGTGATTTGCACCTCCAGGAGCCATGTAAGTTCCGACGGCAATAAGGAAAGCCCCAATACCCATGGCTATGTCGACGCCGGCGCGATCGAAGATCTCAGTTCCCAGATCTCGGTGATTGACTTCTAGCTCGACCGACTTGTCGCCGGCCACGGATTTCAGAAGTGCTCTCTCCTCCCTCAGGAGTCTGATGTTCTTCCAGCTGCACGTGATATCACGAAGGGCGACGAAAGACATGGTTAGCGCGATTGTAGCGCCGATGACCATAAGGACAATTGCATAGACAGGAACTGGCACGCGATTGAAGACATTCGCAGCGAAGTCGCCCGAATTGGCCAGGTCCAAGAACCCGATAATCAGAGGCGGGATACTGCGAATGCGCTGCGGGTTGCAGAGGGTGAATTTGCCATTGGCGGCGCGGACAAAAGCGAAGGACGGCACCGGAAGGTGGTGGTGTCGACTTGGATCCTGATCAATGATCGATGTTTCTTTTTCCAGATCGAGGACCGAGTCCGCGTTGAGCGAAGGTGGTAAGCTCGTCGTCATATCATGTTCAGTTGCGCAAAGGACTTCACGAAGTCATGTCAAGTGATGCGGAAGCCAGGATGTCTGTCGGCGAGAATGATCAAGGAAGGCGCGCGACGGCCGCTGCGACAGCGATCGACTGAGCCTTTGAATTTCCTGTTCGATGAATTCCAGTGATGCAAAGTGTTGAAGGTTGTTGCGACAAGGAGGAAAGGGTCGAGGTGTCATGTTTTGCCAAGGACGTTTCCGGCAGTCGATTGCGCGTCCAACGTTTGTATACGAGGCCGCGCTTTGGGTTCATCATCGGCGTGGAAAGTCAGATGTGCCCCTGAAACCATCAACTTGGTGGTGGAATAGTCATCAGAACTTTGTGCATCAAGTGTCATTTCGTCTATGAAGTCTATCATAGTACGGGGATATCTAAGTCTCTTTCGCTTCCAAAATCTTCCAATTCATATGTACACGGCACCTACGACTTGATCAACAAGCTGGAGCCAGTCATCTCCTCGGGCTGGTCGAGACCCATGACAGCCAGAACGGTAGGAGCAACATCACCGAGGACACCGTCGGTCTGCTTGAGGCTGTAGCCCTCAGGGGCGTTGGCCATGACGAAGGGAACCTTGTTCAGGGTGTGCGAGGTCTTGGGGGTGTTCTTCTCGTTGAGCATCTCCTCGGCGTTTCCGTGGTCGGCGGTGATGAAGAGGGTGTAGCCGCTCTCCTTGCACTGCTCGTAGACCTTGCCGATGGCCTTGTCGGTCTCGGTGCAGGCAATGACGGCGGCGTCGTAGACACCAGTGTGACCGACCATGTCGGGAGGAGCAAAGTTGTTCATGAGGAACTCGTACTTGCCCTCCTTGATGCGCTCGCAGAGCTTGTCGGCAACGGCCATGGCGCTCATCTTGGGCTCCTTGTCGTAGGTGGGGACGCGGGGCGAGGGGACCATGTCTCTGTGCTCGTTGTCGAACTGAACCTCGACACCGCCGTTGAAGAAGAAGGTGACGTGGGCGTACTTTTCGGTCTCGGCGACATGGCACTGGTGGACCTTTTGCTTGGAGAGCCACTCGGCAAGGACGTTGTCCATGGTCTGGGGAGCGAAGGCAAGGGGGAAGGTGTAGTCGGTCTTGTAGCGGGTCATTGTGGTGACGTGCATGTTGGAGGGGTAGGGGAAGTCGGGCTTGGGGCTGCGGTCCTGGTCGCCGATGAGCTGAGTGATTTCGCGGACACGGTCGCTGCGGTAGTTGAAGAAGAAGAGCGTGTCGTTGTCTGTAGCGCAGTGGGTCAGTAACAGTGGATGGAGATGGGAGCAAGACTGGACATACCCTGGACTCTGCCGTCCTTGCCGTTGACGATGATGGGCTTGAGGAACTCGTCGGTCTCACCCTGCTCATAGCGAGCCTTGATGGTTGCGACGGGGTCAGACGACTCCTCGCCCTCACCCTTGACAATGCCGTTCATGGCCTGCTCAATGCGGTCCCAGCGCTTGTCACGGTCCATGGCGTAGTAGCGACCGACAACAGTGGCAATCTTGCCGAGGCCGAGCTTCTTGGTGTGGTCGAGGACGGTCTGCATGTGGCCGGCGCCAGACTTGGGGTCGGTGTCACGGCCGTCACCGAAGAAGTGGATGTAGACCTCGGGCACACCGACCTCCTTGGCCACGTCGAGCAGCTTGAGCAGGTGGTTGATGTGCGAGTGGACACCGCCGTCAGAGACGAGACCGAGCAGGTGCAGGCGGCCATTGCCCTCCTTTGCGCGGTTGAAGCTCTTGATGATGTTGTCGACCTTGTTGAGTTCGCCCTTCTTGATGGTCTGGTCGATGCGGACAACGTCCTGCCAGACGACTCTGCCGGCGCCGATGTTCAAGTGGCCGACCTCACTGTTGCCCATGAGGCCCTCGGGCAGACCGACGGCGAGCGACGAGGCCTCGAGCTCGGTGTAGCCCTGAGTGATCTTGCTGCCCTTCTTGGCGAACTCGTCCATCCAGGGAGTGTCGGCGTTGAGGATGGCGTTGCCCTTGTCGGGCGAGCTCTCGCCGGCGACACCCCATCCGTCAATGCAGATGAGGACTGCCTTTTGTGCGACCTTTGCCATGTTGATGTGATGCTGCCAAGCTGTTAGAGAGATGACGACTGCGCGGAAGTGCGGGGCTTTGTCGAGAGGGAAAAGCGATGTGAAAGAAACAGGGGGAAGGCACAAAGAAGGAAGGAAGGCACAGCGCACTTACAATTGAGCGGTATGTGGAAGGTGCAAGTGGAATGACAGGGCAGGTATTACAGGTGATGTCTCGTCAACTGCTGAGGGGCCTTTTTCGGCCTTCAACCATTACACAAGCTTGGACCATCTGACTTCACACATCGGCCCGCCCTTTTTTGTTGACGCGCAGCCCTGACGATAAGCTGATAAGCCAAAGAAATGCCAGCTTGCACACCCTGACCAAAAACTTCTTTGCATCACAATGATTTCTCTCAGCGGCTAGGTGTAACAAAGCTCTGACTTCTGGAAGCTTGACAATGCTCAGTGTTTGTTTGATTCCATGCACAACAAGTTCGCGACGCTTGGCAACTTGTCAGCATTCAAGACCTTTTGTCGAAAGACCCGGATGATCGAAACTTGCGACGCCGCAACCACAACCGCGGTATCAGCAACGCTGTTCAACTCGGACGTATCTGAGGCAGCTCATCTCCACAGACATGCCCGGCCCAAATGCAGCTGCGATGACATAATTTCCCTGTGGATTCATCGAGCGTTTCTCATCAAGCACCGCCAAGACCGATGGACTCGAAGAGTTTCCTCGATGCCTGTAAATCTCACGCGTAGCACGCAGCTGTTCTTCCTTTAGATTCATCACTCGCTGCACTCCATCTATAATCGCTCGACCACCAGGATGTAGCGCCCAGTCAAGATTGCCAACATCTAGCTTGTCATGTCTCGTCTGAGTACGCAGTCTTGACAGCAATCGATCAAACATTGAATTGATGGCCGAGACAGCATGATTTGAGACCGATCTGCTAAGCACGGTACGATAGCCTGGTTTGTGGATCAGCCATGTTGCGACTGGCGCAATGTAGAGTCTTTGCTATACCTCTGTCTTCTGCAGTAAACTCCAGATCACTGCTTGTCCCGGGGATGAGTGCATGACCCCAGTCCAGCAGCTCTAGGACCGGCTGGATCCCATTCTGCAATCCCAAGTCATTACAGAGGACAAACGCAGCTGCGGCATCAGAGAAAAGGGCCGCTGCAATGCTTATCTGTGAAGTCTCAGTACAGCTCGCAACAGCGTCGAGCTCGTATTTAATGTTGGGTGTGCTGAGTTCGCACGCAAAACAAAGTATCCTGGCAGCTCGACCTCGCATTGTGGCTCCGCAAGCCAGTTGAGCGGCTGTTCGCATAATTGCCAGACCACCAGCACATCCAACGCCCTGGAGGAGTATGCGCTCGACTGATGTTGACAAACCAAGTCTCTCGTTGACTAGAACGTCATATCCTGGATTGCCTTGGTTGGTGCAGGCGACAGCGACGGTATGAGTTATAGCGTCAGGTCGCCCCGCCCATTCGTGAATTGCCTTCTTGCAAGCTTTCACGGTCATGTCAACACCAGCAGTACGGAAGAGGTGATTCATATCCGCAAGAGATGTTGGTATGCTGTCAGCAGCGTGATCCGTGCTGTAGTCAAGTATCGCTGATCGCGTCTCAATTCCAGTATTTCGATTGATCTCAAGCAGTCTTCTCATGCTGAAGTCAAGAGTCAGCACATATACCTTGACTGAAGTAAGTCAATCTACCCAGCGTTATCGGAATCGTAGAATCGCTCAGCGAAAGCTTCTAAGCTCTCTGGCCTCAGAAGATGCCTAGGATACTGTGTACCAAGTCCTGTAATCCACAGCCCCGGCTCTTGGTGGACACCGGGAATTGACCCTTTGTCGTAAGTAGTCATGTCGGAGACAAAATGCCCGAGTAATCTCTCCTGCGATTTTGCTCCATATGGTGGATCGACAAGCTGATTTGTACTGCCTGGGGACAAGAAAGTGTCAGAGATCAGAGATGAACGCAAATAGAAGAATCTCCTGCTGATTGCATTAGCTTGCATGAGATTCAGGCGGCGTGCATGATCCTGAAACTGTTCAAAAACGCCACCGAACTGCCTGAATTTGCAACGACTACTTATGGAGAATTGGAAAGTGTAGACAACTAATGCAAACGCTAAAAGCCGGCGACTTTGGCGGGCACCTTCGCTGGGACCGCTCTGGCGAGGGTAGGGTTTTAGGGTTAGGGTTAGGGTTTGCAGAACTTCGATACAATACTATATAAGCTATATTATGCTCCTAAACTTAGAAACCTAGGTGCGGTAAGGAAACAGGTGGTCTACCTTCTTTAGATCGTGTAGTGTTAGTTAATCCCGTATCCCATCCAGTTCCGGGCTCGGAGTCGGACAAGTAAAGTAGAGATGTACTTGTCTAGCCATTCAGCTATACTAGGAGAGAAGGACTGTTGCAGCTCCTTATAGGTCTGCGAGGTCTCCTTTCCCAGTAGG